TCTTATCCCCCCTCCCCTCTTCTTATTCTCCTCCACTCTTCTTACCCCCCCCTCCTCCCTCTCTTCTTACCCCCTCCCCTGTAGCGTGGCCGAGGTGCACTCCGGTCCGCGGTGGCCGGCGGAGTGATAGGAAGGTGCACACTGAGGGTGCACTTCCTGTCAGTCCGGTGACAGGAAACAGAAACTCCTGTTCCGCGCTGAGTTTCTGTTTCCTGTCACCGGCCGGACTGACAGGGAGTGCACACTCAGTGTGCACCTTCCTATTACTCCGGCCGGCCACCGCGGACCGGAGTGTAGCTCGGCCACGCTACAGGGGAGCAGCTGCAGCCGCCTGAGGCTCTTAACAGAGCGCTCGGGCGGCTGCAGTATTTAAAGGGCCGGCCCCAGGTGCCGACGGCGCACCGGGAAATTTCCCGGTATCCCGGTGGGCCAGTCCGGCCCTGGCCTTAAGTCTGGAACACATAGACATCACCAGACGCTGGGTTTCATCCCTGGTGATGCTCTGCCAGGCCTTTACTGCAACTGTCTTCAGTTCCTGCTTGTTCTTGGGGCATTTTCCCTTCAGTTTTGTCTTCAAGTGAAATGCATGCTCAATCGGATTCAGGTCAGGTGATTGTCTTGGCCATTGCATAACATTCCACTTCTTTCCCTTAAAAAACTCTTTGGTTGCTTTTGCAGTATGCTTCGGGTCATTGTCCATCTGCACTGTGAAGCGCTGTCCAATGAGTTCTGAAGCATTTGACTGAATATGAGCAGATAATATTGCCCGAAACACTTCAGAATTCATTCTGCTGCTTTTGTCAGCAGTCACATCATCAATAAATACAAGAGAACCAGTTCCATTGGCAGCCATACATGCCCACGCCATGACACTACCACCACCACCACACTTCACTGATGAGGTGGTAGGCTTTGGATCATAAGCAGTTCCTTTCCTTCTCCATACTCTTCTCTTCCAAGTTGATCTTGGTCTCATCTGTCCATAGGATGTTGTTCCAGAGCTGTGAAGGCTTTTTTAGATGTTGTTTGGCAAACTCTAATCTGGCCTTCCTGTTTTTGAGGCTCACCAATGGTTTACATTTTGTGGTGAACCCTCTGTATTCACTCTGGTGGTCTTCTCTTGATTGTTGACTTTGACACACATACACCTACCTCCTGGGGGGTGTTCTTGATCTGGCCAACTGTTGTGAAGGGTATTTTTTTCACCAGGGAAAGAATTCTTCGGTCATCCACCACAGTTGTTTTCCGTGGTCTTCTGGGTCTTTTGGTGTTGCTGAGCTCACCGGTGCGTTCTTTCTTTTTAAGGATGTTCCAAACAGTTGAGTTGGCCACACCTAATGTTTTTGCTATCTCTCTGATGGGTTTGTTTTGTTTTTTCAGCCTAATGATGGCTTGCTTCACTGATAGTGACAGCTCTTTGGATCTCATATTGAGAGTTGACAGCAACAGCTTCCAAATGCAAATAGCACACTTGAAATGAACTCTGGACCTTTTATCTGCTCCTTGTAAAAGGGATAATGAGGGAATAACACACTCCTGGCCATGGAACAGCTGAGCAGCCAATTGTCCCATTACTTTTGGTCCCTTGAAAAGTGGGAGGCACATATACAAACTGTTGTAATTCCTACAAACAGGAATTATATACAAACTGTTCATTTCAAATCCATTGTGGTGGTGTATAGAGCCAAAAATACTAGAATTGTGTCAATGTCCCAATATTTATCATCTATCATCATAGCACCATGAAAATATCTTGGGGCGCCCATGTACCCATCGTGGCGCCCCAGGGAACAGCTGCACAGTTTGGGAACTGCTGCTGCAACATTAAAGAAATGTAAAAATGAGCTCTGAATGCACTGTAAATATAGATCACTTCAGTCTCATGGAGACAAAGATTTACGTCTCAAAGTGACACATGACATACAATGTGCACAGCATGGTCATAACATGTATAAAAGCCTGCATTTGTATCACATACATCATAAAGTCGGCTTTGTGTACGTTTTAATGGAGTGTTGTTTTTAAGTTACAGTACCTCTTTACAATAGTTCCTATAAAATATTTATAATAATGACATAAAACAAGCTGTGTGCAAAATGAAATTGTTTTCTAAAACAGCAATGACAGCTCGATTGCCTTTAGAAGAAAGATATCTGACCCGTCAATGTCTAAAGGTTTGGCAAAAAAATAAAATCAGTGACAAAGAGCAAAAAAAAACAAAAAAAAAACAGCTCAGGATCACCCATTCTCTATATCATTTCACTTAACATGGCCATTCATGCCTCTGGCAAAACTAGTGTATCTTTGGCTCGTGCTGACAAGTTCTATTTGTTCAAAGTACACTACAAGGGTTTCTCTTTTATTACCTGTGAGTGATTATATACCTTGGCCTCAGTTTTCTGTTCACCTAAAAGTAGAGATCAAGTATGCTTTGATACATGTACCATATTATGCATTGTTACTGATGACTGTGAAAAATAAAAGGTTGCTATAAAACTTAACATTGGAAGATTACAGATGCTGGTCCCTGCCCTGCAATTTGTATTTTCAGATTTTGCTGTACACCCTTCATATCCCAGGTGTACGGTGGAAGAGGTCTTTCTTTTCTCATGGCCAATAGTGGTTGTTCAAGGCACATCCTATCAAGTGCCTGAAAAAACAGGGATGATTCTCCCAGATATACTATTATTAATCAGTATTCTGTGGCTGTAGCTCTCTTTTTCTTTTCTTATGGACTAATGAGTGTGTTGGAATATTCTAGAACAGTTTTCTTTAGGATTTAACCTGATCTAGTCCTCTATTAAAATAAAGGTTTCTGCCCAGAATGTTACCTTATGTTTATCTCACATGGAATGGTAATTTCATTTGGTAAATTATTTCCAGACATACCTACTCACCAATCTTCAATAATAAGCCTCTACAAACAGCCTGCTTAATAAACATTTGTTTTTAAAAGCTGGAAGAGCTCTTGGATAACTTCTGGGCCTCCTTGGAGGCACGTCAGACAGCCACACCATCGCAACCTAGTGAGGAGATCCAAGAGATGAGGGATCAACGGGGCAAAACCCTGCAGCATCACCCACGAAAGCAAGGTACGATCAAGACCCTTTGCTTTCCGCCTGTGAGGCAGGACTTGGTCACTCTGGGCTCCCGAGTCATTGGCAAGAAGATGCCGGCCTGGGACTGGAGGAATTTTGCACGATAACCATCTGCATCAGCTCCATTTCTTTTTTTTTGTTCTATCTTGCAGTCTCAATAAAAGACAGATTGACAAAAAAATAAATAAATAAAAAAATAAATAAATATATATATATACACACACACACACACACACACACACACACACACACACACACAATATGAAGTTTAAGTTAAATGTTTTTGCATTATTTATCACTATTTCAAAGTCAAGAATCCTTTGTGAAACATATAGAAACATAGAATGTGACGGCATATAAGTACCATTTGGCCCATCTAGTCTGCACAATTTACACAGACACCTAGTGGCCACTGATTGCATTACAGTTCTTTATTCCATATATACATGATACGGCTTAGTGTTAAGGAAATATATACAGCATAGAAATATTAAATCATGGTTCAGCCCCGTTCACAGATGACTTCAATAACACTTTGCTCCATGGGTAAAGGATCCAAACAGCGGTGTGCCGCACTGCCTACCACTTCATCCAGCAGGCAGTGAACAAGGTTTTCATCACTTACAAAACGCCACAGGTATAGCTGCAGGTAGTGACAGTCCACCTGAATCTGCTGCAATCCATAGCGACCAAATGTGCGCAGACGAACACATTCCAGGAATGTCTTCAGGCTGATCTTAATGATACCAGTCAGGATAGAGACCTGATGAGAGAATTTAATCGCAGTGTTACTGGCCACTGAGTAAATCAGTAAAGGAAGTTTTTTAATGAGAGATAACAAGCGTTCCTCAGGCACATTTTCATAGTAACAGCTGCGATCATAGCCAACTATTTAAAAAGACTGTGAGTTCAACATACAATTATTGTTACTACAGTTTACATTGAATGAGTAAAGAGACAGTGTTTGATGGAGGCACATGGAATGAAGCAAAGTACCTTGTTGAACTGGACAGTACTGAAAATGTCAATTCTCTCGGAGAACAACTTTTGAATGTTACTCAGAAGGTTGGTATCCAAGGGAGCACTATAACAGAGAAACGGAGACCAATATTAACATCTTACAAAGTTTATCATCCATGTCAAATGTTCAGTTAAGGACTAATACAGAGACAGATAACATGATAAAAACAAACAAACTAAGCTACCCGAGGAAGCGGGAACACCTGAGGGGGAGAACAAGGTTCTATTCAAAATAAAGGAACTGACACTCGCAGACACGGAGGGGTGTTTTTTTTTTTTGTTTTTTTTTTGCCACGTGCCCATACAGACCCACCGAGAACCACCAGCCAGACCGAGAGGAACAGGCCCACGGGCTCGCACACAGACTACCAAGGGGGTACCCACGATAAGGGAATTATGGGCATACACTCTGGGAGGGAGGGTCCCTGATATCCGGGTAGTACGACCTTCTCACTTTGGGTAGCCACGTAGACCAAAGCAGGTATAAATCGTTCAGGTAGACACCGGATACTATTTGAAGACATCCTACTGAATGTAGAGTATTGGACCTGCGAGTCCGACACTAAATTCTTATAAATTTCAAAGTGTGACCTGCGTGTCACTGATGCATATGCATAAGTTGGTTGTCTCTCCCTTTTTCTCTTCTTCCAAGTTGACGGGGACCTGTGAGTCCCCATCAATGCTCATTACTGATGCACGTTCATAAGTTGATTTCCCGTTACTTTCTTCTCTTCAGTTACATGGGACCTGCAAGTCCTCATCTTTGTCTTTTATAATTGATAATGAAAACACTCGATAAAGAAAATATTTAAAAAAAACAAAAACAAAAACAAAAAAAAACTAACCTTGGGGTGTAACTCTGTGCATATCTTCCTTGCAGACGAGAACTACTATATACAGAAAAGGTACGCTTACTAGAATCACTGCTGTGTGCTTTCCGTACTCCTTCCTCATACAGGAGACCCACCTGTGTGAGCAAGAAATAGCTTTAGTGTTCAAAGGTTGAGGAAAGAATTGAACAGTATGGTAACATCTCTGAGTATTTTAAAAATAAAGATTTTGTTTTATAAAAACAAAAACAGTTTCTACTACCTGTACATCAACACCAGTGACATCTTCTACTACCCTCTTCATCACAGCTCGAACATTTCTTGGCTCAATGGTTGCCACCCAATCCCGGGTCTCCACACTCTTGCGAAGCATCTGGGACACAACTAAACCTTGAGACTTGACATACTGATTGAGAAGTGTCTGTGCTGTGGAGCGAGCCAGGGAGCAGAGAGAACTCACAGGAGTAACTGGAGAATGATCCTGAAAAGATTAGCAAGGAAAACAACTAAAATTATATTAAGTTATACAGAGAGATGAAACAACCCATGGTGGTACTGGTTTATCAAAGAGACAAAAATAACAGCACGATGACAGATGTTTGAACAAAACAGTGACTGATAGAACATTTTGAAAAAAGATAGACAAAAGGGATAAAAGATAGACAAAAATGACACACCACATGTCTTGAAGTATCAACAAAAAGACTTCTGGTGCTGGAAGGTACTCAAGTATTACCTGTCCAAGGAACTGCTCGTCTGTCAAAGTTAGAATGTAGCTGATGGTTGATGTCTCATAATCCAGACAGAGGCGAGAGAGAAGTAATAAGAGGACTGGTGGAGTATTTGCACCTTTTTCTCCAGGTGACTCACAGAATTGCCGTGCTGTCTGGCAGATGGATTTGATAAAAGCTACTATCAGTCCCTCGCGGACACCTTGGCTGCAGAATTCTCCCTGAAGAAAGAATAAGAGGAAAACAGGGGAAAGGTGGGTAAATACAGAACAGGTAACAATATCCAGGTGAAAATGTGCATTGATGTAGCAGGACAAAACTAAGAAAAACACGACGCCCCATTGTACTTGCCTACATTTATCATTATGACACCTACTTACCTTGAAGTATGGTTTATCAGAAAACGCCACATCCTTAGCAGTGAAAAGATGCACAGCAGCCAGTACAGTCTTTATCTGGTTGAGAACAGAAGCAGACAGCCCTGCCAGGAGTTCGCCCAGTGCTGGAGCTTCTTTCCCAGGTACTCTTGGAGCTGCCAGAGCCTGTCGAACATCGGTAAGGCAGCCCTGGAAAAAGTCCTTTAGTGCCTGCAGGTATTGAGCTAATCTTTCTTGTGCTACTCTCACAACGATCTCTGTGCCTCGTCGATTGAATCCACACCCTGGCACTAGCTTAGATGGTGCTTGTAGCCGTCTGTGAAATCTATCCAAGGCACGCACTAGCAGAGAATTGTCTCCTAGACTCTTTTCCTGCCGAAGTCTGATCTCTACCAGCTCAAAATATCCTTCACTTAGTTCCTCTAAAAATTTTGTCAGTTTCTCCTCTGCCATTTGTGCTGTACTGCCAGGTTCCTTACAAAAGAGTGCTTGGTAGGAAGCTGCCAGAAGGCAGGAATCGCTGATGAAACCACCACAGCCCCGATCAACAAACTCCAAGACATCACCAGAACCCTCCAAATCAGAAAGGTGGGAAGCCAGCCGTCCACGACCATGGGCAAGGAACTCATCGCATAGAAGGTGGGCTGGTTCCTCCAGACTTAGAAGCAACTCTACACATTCTGAAAGCTCCTGCGTGGATGATGAAGAATCCCTGTAAAGTAAAAAAAAATAAAAAAAATTTTAAAAAAAGAAACGATTATCCAACTGTGCAAAAAGTAATATACCAATAATTTGTTGACATATATAGTGATTACTGAAAAATCTGAAGTGCCTAAAGGAGCTGAAATTCAGTAAATCAGAAATAGATCAAATTTAGATGACATCAGCACATCTCTAGAAAGGGAAAAGTGCTTGAAATTTTACACCTGAAGAAAAATGGAAATCTTAATAGATTTTACAGAAAGTGATAGGACATTACATGAGAAAATGTGACATAACTATATAAGGCAGTAATACTGGATGCTTAAGTCTAAGGTTATTTCAGTAGGAATTTAGGAATACAGCTTAAAGAACACCGACTTTTGCTTAACCAACGTTAACGTTTAACAGAAAACAAAACAAAAAACTGCATTTTCCATCATTCCATGTGTAAGAAATAATCTAATTTGCAGAATTTATAATGTTTGCTAACTCAAAGGTAATGTAAATTGCATAGAGGAGCCAAGAAAAAAATAGAGAAAAATTAAATTAAAGGAGCACTATAGGGTCAGGAACGCAAACATGTATTCTTAACCCTATAGTGTTAAAAAAAGCCATCTAGCCCCTCTTACCCACCTAAATATATTCCAGTCTTCTGATACTGGCTCTGTCCCGATCTGCCTGCTTGGCTAACATCATCAAAAGTGGTGTTCTGAGCCAATCACAATGCTTTCCCATAGGGGAGCATTGGATTGACTGAGATGGTCAAGGCAGATCAGAGGCAGAGCCAGCACAAGCCAAACACAGCCATGGCCAATCAGCATCTCCTCATAGAGATGCATTGAATCAATCCATGTAAAAGGGTGGAGATGCTGAATGTCAGTGCTGCACAGTGTGCAGCACTGCCCAGTAAACACCTCTAGTAGCCATCTGAGGAATGGCCACTGGAGATATCCCTAAGCTATAATGTAAACACGGCCTTTTCTTTGAAAAGACAGTGTTTATTGCAAAAAGCGTACAGGGACTGACTATACTGACTAGAATAAATACAATAAGCTGTGGTTGTTCTGGTTATTATAGTGTCCCTTTAATTAAAACAGGGCTTAAACTGTCAAGTCCTGGGGGCGTGGCCTAACTACTGAAGCAGAGAGTTGCATGGCCTGTGAGCTCCGGAATATCGGAGGGGAAAAACCGACTAAAATAGCCAGCCAACGCTTGAAAAATTCACGGGGAGAACCCATCACCTGCCCCATGGGACGGAAAACAAAAAAACGAAACCTGACAAAGCCAGCAGGGTATGAGCATCGGTGATCTGTGGCAGCAGGCACCGCGGCTGCTCTGACTTTTCGGATGATATGTCGGATGAAGCAGAGTGAGTCCTCACACCAACTCCACAGTTAACCAGCGACGGCCCGCCCAGCACCCCCACCACCGGGAACAGATGCCGCACCAGCGACACTGACAGCTATCAAAGAGCTCATGTTGGACCTCCACAAAAAAAATATCAGCAGATGTGGCCCTGATAAGGGAAGACCTGCAGGGCCTGACCGCCCGCCTTGGCCTAGTGGAAAGTACCACACAAGAGCACACTCAAACAGAGATGAAAGAGATGCAGCAACGGTGCCAAGCCTTTGAACACAGGCTTGACGCCCCGGAAGATAAGAGAAGGCAGAAAAATCTGAAAATCAGGGGTGTCCCGGAAAATGTGCCGACAGCTGAACTCCCGCACCTCGCCCGACTCCTCATAGCAGCCCTACTAACCCCAAAACAAGCAAAGGCAGTGTCTCTAGAGGGAGTATTCAGACTCCCGAGACCTACCAAAGCATCACTTGCAACCTCAGGGGACCTGGTGGTCCAGTTTCAAAGTCATAAGGATAAAGCAGCAGTACTGGCCGCCATCAGGGGGCAGTCGCCATACAGCTTCAAAGGGATGTCCCTAGACTTTTATGCGGATCTCTCCGGGGGTCCCTGGCCTGGCGGCGATTACTTCGCAAGTTCGCACTACTCCTGCAAGCAAAGAATATTGGCTACCGATGGAGCCAAGTCCGCACGCTGCTCGTCACACAGAGGGACTCCACCATCTCCATCAATGACCAGACTGAAGAGACTATACACCTACAGGGCCATAACTTAACTTAATTTGATTTTCTATGGGACACCGTGGTATGTATCCCCACACGAACCACTAAACTAGTTTCCCACAGTGCACCAACAGCCTCCCGACAACTACCCTCACAATGTTTTACACCCCCTCCCCCTGAACGAAGTTATCCCTATGGCCAGCACAACGGGTATCACCCCGAATATCGAATCCCAAGAAACCGCCTTAACACCATAGCCCTCACTTACACACACAGATCTGTATGTCCCCCTATCCCCTAGAAGACTTAACTTCACCGCGAGCACCAAACTGCAGATACCCAACCAACAGGAGCTTACACAGGGACCTAAGAACGCCCCACTGCAGACACTGCCACCTATGACTTACCCGACCTGGGGTATCACACACATACAGGCACACAATACCCTAGCACGGACAGAGCACTCCACAATGAACCGGAACGATACTCAGGGGCAGGCAACCGTAGTACCCTCATGAGTAGAGAGGGGGCCCACGGACCCTTGCTACACACGGCTATGGGGGGAAACTCTCCTACCTATGAGCTTAGACCAACAGTTGACCCCTCTATATATACACACTACTGGTCAGTCCGCACGAACAGTTAACCTTTATTGCTAGCATTTCACTATTATCTACATCACCTTAAAATAAAAAATGTGCACTGTTATACATGCCTAAAAATTGCTGTTATATGTTGATTGAATCGCCGGCAACAGCTGTTGGGGCATTGCCAGCACGTATGTAAAGTTTATTCTATGCACCAAAAATAGAGAATAATAAAAAAAAAAAGTCCTAATCTGGTAGCCAGGTCTTAAATGTCACTATCCACTGCACGTCAGGAGGGTCCATGGCACACTCACCAGGGCTTTATATCAGCTTGCCAATTAATAGCGGCAAGTGGAAATTTGAGAATGGGATCAAAATATAACTGAAATCGTTCTTAAAATCAAATTATCACTCTACTTCGGTTTCTTACTCATTTTTTAATGAGTCACAAAGAATGAACATAGTTGTTTGAATTGTTTATGAAGTAGCATTAGAGGCACAAATTAATCTGCTCTTACTGTGGAATCTAACGAATACTAATTTGAATTTGATGAGCTTTTAGGTCGTCTACTCACATTCTGTACTGTTTAGGCTCTATCTGCTCAATGTATGTGTGCAACACTAAAGAGAACTATAACAACAATACCACAACCTGTTTTTCTTTTTCTATGTATTTATGTATAACATGAACCTTTAGGAAGATAAAGAAACCATTATTATTGAATAATCATGCTTTGAGTATTGTTAGGTGCTTCTTACAGTTTTCAACTCTTTATGTGCACACACCAAACAAAATTAGATGAATAACCGTACCTGAACCTCTGCCGAAGAGTATCTGCCAGTCCTGCCATGATAGCCTGGCAGTCAGTCTGAATGCCGTGAAAGGAGGGCATGTGCTGGTACTGGTGGAGCACACTGCGGGCCTTGGAGTGATAGGACACAGCCTGTGCATAAGCTTTGAGCTCGATACACTTATTTAGGCGGGCAGGGAGTTCAAACAGGAACTGCAGCTTACGCAGAAGGGTGTGGACACCTGGCAAAGGACAACCATGTTAATTTTCTATATAGAAATGTGCTATTTTTTTATTTTATTTATGATGCATCTCCTGCATAAAAAGTTAATCATTTATCAGAAATTAGCTATCGCCGTTCATACTTTGCCTTTCCACGGCCAACTAAGTCTTGTACCCAATTATACATACCGCTAAGCTTGGTAATGTGTTGGTGTCTCTCCTGCAGTGTGCTACTGATGCTAGCACTAAATTCAGTGATTACTGCCATGTTTGCCGCAAGTCCATCCATTTCATCCTCCATCTTCTTGAAATCATTCTTCATCTTACGGATGGTGTCTAAGGAATTATGAAAGCAATTGAAAATCAGAACACTTTTTCCTTAAAGTCACTGCACACAGTTTATAAGGGAAGAGGGCAGACAAAAATCACAACTCTTGGATGTTTGCAAAACTGTTCAAAAACAGTTTGATATAAATCCAGTGAATGGAGGCCGTAGCACCACAACTACATAGAAACATAGAATGTGACGGCAGATAAGAACCATTCGGCCCATCTAGTCTGAACAGACTAAAACATCAACAGATTACCTTATTTGCTGTAGGATAATCTATTACATACAAACCTAAAATAGCTTGTATTTATTTTTAGAAAGAGACACATAAAGCACTCTATCATAACACCTTCTTTCACGGTTATTTTGAAGAGAGGGGAAAAAAGCAATACTGTAATTTTTTTCCATGCCAATGGTAGCTTCAGCATATGACCCAAATGTTTTATTTAGACAGAACTATACTATTAAAAAGGCATTTTCACGAGAAAGTTTGCTTATTGCCTCAAACTGTATTTTATACATCTGTCCATTGCACATCCCTCTGTAAAAGGTCAGAACTGGTACACTGATCATCTCAGGCTTATTGTTTATGTCAATTGTAAAAAATGATGCCCATTCTGCTGCAAATGTGCTAGATGTGAAGCCAGCACGTCGGCATCATAGAGGAAGATTTCTCTGCGTTAGGAAGTGTCCACAAGAAATGCTAATTACATGGCAGAGGACAGGAATGTAAGGACGGCAAAATAAAATACCATCTAACTTCACTTAGTGGAAGACCTTCCTACCTGTTGCAGATATGAATTTATTATAGTTCTCATACACCAGGGTCTGCATGTCACTGTCCAGGGCTCGGATCTGACGTACCATGTCGGACTCCACGTCCATCAACTGAGCCAGGGATCTCTCTTTTCTTAACTGCATGTAAAAATAGAAAATTAAAAATTAACAGAGAAAACAACACATCTCTCTTCCCTGTTGGGTAATAATATATAAAAAAAAAAAAAAATACAAAATCTGCTAAAAAAACTATACAAGAATTCTAATGCATCTCCAGTTGTCAGTTATGCAAAGTACTGAAGCAGTTGAGAACATAGGTTGGTCACTAAATTGAGAATTTAAAGTTAATTTCTAATTTAATACCAGAGTAGCCAAACTGAAAGCAGAGCTGACGTAGAGAATTTTCCCAGTTCGGCTATATTCACCTTAAATTGAAAAGTCGTTTTAAATTCACCTTGATTTCTTACTTAAGTGACTAACCCTAAAAGATGGCATCGCAGATTGTGCAGTAATTCCACGAATAGTCAGGAAACATGCAATTGCATGAAAGAGCGATCCTTTGAACGATTTAGAATTAGTCACTAAACACAGAATTGTGAAGAATTGTCAAGAGATTTGAATATTTTAAGCCAAAACAGCTAAAAATTAGACAAACTGACAATTTCTGCTACTTCATAAGCTCAGCTATTTTGGCGTAAAATGTGCAATTTCTTTAGCAGTTCTCCACATTTTAATGAATAAATATCAATAAATGTTCTGAACATTCCCCTCAATAAACAGGAATCAGCAAATGGAAAAAAAAAAAAAAGGGACTGCATAAAAATGTATCTGGTATACATTATTTTTTTTTGCAGGATATTAACTTTTTTTTAAAATAAAATATGGATATCGAAAGCACCATTACTGCAAACAGGGCCGCCATCAGGGGGGTACAAGCAGGACATTTTTGTTTTTGTTTCTACAACAGAGAAACAAAAACAAAGTCACACAAACCACAACAAAGTGGGTGAGTGAAAGCTGGATAGTAGGTAAGTGAAAACCCCTTCAGGCCACTTACCAGAGACCCCGCCGTTATCCCTCAGCGGTGGTTTCTGCTCGCCGCCGCTCCTCAAAGTGATTAAGTCAGCCGGTGGGCGAGACTGATCCCGCCCGCCGGCTGAGGAAACCTAATGCTTTTCTATGGGGAATTGAGCGACGATGGAGGTCCTCACACAGCGTGAGGATGTCCAGCGACGCTCTAACACAGGTTTTCTGTGCTATAATCCAGGAAGTGCCCTCTAGTGGCTGTCTAGTAGACAGCCACTAGAGGTGGAGTTAACTCTGCAAGGTAATTATTGCAGTTTATAAAAAACTGCATTAATTACAATTGCAGGGTTAAGAGTAGTGGGAGTTGGCACCAAGACACACACACGTGTCTCAAAACTAGAAACAAAGTAAGACAATGACAAGCCTTATAAGGCTTCTCCACTAACTCATAATTGGAGTATAGGGTCATCCAGTAAATTGTTTAAACTAATGGTAGCTTTATCAGACTGCTTGTTTTAGCCCAGGATGTTTTAGCCCTGGTATATTTACGTTAATCTAGATTAACGTAAATATACCAGGGTGAGAGTAAATACCTTATTGGTGGGGGTGTCCAAGACCAATAGACACATAATCGAAGGAGTAATATACAGTCTTAACAAAGGTTAATTAAAAAGTTTGAAGGACAGTAAGCTAAAAAGACTCTCTCCCTGGTAAACTGGAAGATAGTAGCGACAGAATAAAAAGTGAGAAAATCAGGGGGGCGTGGCTGACCGCCGAGCAAGATGGCCGTGTAAAGATTTGCTCCGGCACATGGGCTCCATAAATAACGATCAATTGTAAGCAGAGAACCCACCTAACATCACTGAACATCATGACACAACCCAAAGCGAAGAAATCCATGGCAAAAACTGATAAACTGGCTTTTTTCGGGCAAAAAACAACGCACTCTGAATCTGTGCGGCCCGCGCTCCAAGATGGCGGCGAGGACACAGATGCGGAGGCGGCCTACCAAGCCGCAGAGGGACCTCGTCTGCAGGACTGCCTCACGAGAAGCTACTTCGAAAAGGCCATGGACACCATGTCTAACACCCTGATTAATACCTGGAAAGCAACAGCAGACCAAATAAAACAAGAAATGAGAGACCTGTCAGGAAGAACTACCAGGGTGGAACAAAGCTGCAAAGACCTGGCCTCCACACAGACCGAAATGGCGGACCAAGTTCTAACGCTGCAACACCGAATGGAGAAAATGGAGGCGCAAATGGCGGACTACGAGGACAGGGCGAGGCGGAACAATCTGCGGCTACGCGGGGTCCCGGAATCTGTCTCCCAGGACGATCTGCCACTCTATGTAAGAGGCCTCTTGCACGCATACGCGCCGGACATCCCGGCAGATATACTTTTGGTGGACAGAGCACACAGAATCCCCAAACCCCGACACTTACCAGACTCCATGTCCCGCGACGTTCTCATCAGAGTTCATTTTTACCACATTAAAGAACTCATACTTAAACGACATCGCAACAGACCCAACCCGCATGACGACTTCCCAACGGTGCGCATGATGGCGGACCTCTCCGCGGCCACCCTCAGGAGACGCAGGGAATACCAGAATGTCACCACGGAGCTGAGAAACCGAGGAATTAGATACCGATGGGGCTTTCCCACCAAAATAATTGTCACTCGAAACGGAGACACCACCACCATAACTAGCCCAGACGAGGGCATGAAAAAATTGGAAACCTGGGGCCCAACAAACCCTGAGCCTGGGATGACTCGCCGTCCCCCTAAACAGGGGCGCAAACCACAAGAGGACTAACGTATACGCTTAACGAACTGCTGCCCTTGAGAAGCCGCAAGTACAATGCATAGTTCTAACCTTTTTAGTTACTCATACCATGTACATAGTTTTATGTTTACTTATCAATGGCTACCATAACCCTAGTAATAGACCAGAATGGGACTGTAGGCCTCCTGCTGGGCGGGTCTCCAGGGTCCCTTGATTGGGAAATGTTGACCACATAATGATATGCCGGCGCACGCCTAGGGCGCTTAACACATAGGTACACAGGAGGGGGCTAAGACCCCCTCACAACATAGAACATACCTCGCTTTACTATCACAGAAGTGGCCACCACTAGTGATCGGGCAACTGGCCCCAACATATGCTGGGTACCCCAGCAGATCAATCAACGCCCCAACATAATGGGCACTAACTGACAAGTATGGCCGCAACCCCCACTAGACTAAAACTGAATGACCCACGCCGGCCCATGGATTGTGGGGAGACACGCACATACACCCCATAGGCAATTAAAACGGTAGCCACCGACGGGCAATGCCTATCAGAAATGAGGTGTAAAAGTCAGCCCTCAAATTGGCGAGTCAGCGCTGCCATTACCCAATCATAACCTAGCTACAAACCCACACGGCCGGCATAACGTACACTAGTATACACCCGCTACAGCACTGCGCTTACTATGGTAACAAACAAGGTCTATGATCACGGTAGCAAACCCCTCATGGTTACGAAGTTGCAATGTTCTACTGTAAAGTTATGTGTTTACTTTGTACTAACAATCTCTGCCTATCTATCTGCTCTAAAATGGAGCCCAGACAGCCACCGACTGGTAGTCTAGACTTCCAACCCCCAAGGTGTGACAGACGCACCGGACCTCCTTAGGTCGAGACCCCATACCCCCTCTAACTGCGACCCCCCTAACCCATCTGCTCAGAGATACCTTAGGCATTAGCTCCCCCTGATCCCCTGACCGACCAAACCGCTAAGGGCTACTGCCCATAGGCTCCTGTTGCCACCATGAAAATCTATTTGCACAATGTTAAGGGGCTAAACACACCCCACAAAAGACGCGTGCTACTGGACGACCTAAAACGCAACAAAGCAGACATAGTCTGCATCCAAGAAACACACTTTGTCCATAACCGAACCCCCTCATTCGCCATACGGGACTACCCCCACCAGTTCCACGCCACCCACTCTTCCAAATCCCGAGGTGTTTCCATTCTCTTCCACAGCTCCCTAACCGTAGAACCCCTGCAAGTCAAACTAGACAGAAATGGTAGGTTTGTCATACTACACTGCCTACTAAACAACCAACCCCTTCTGCTGGTGGGTCTCTACGGCCCGAACGCCAACCAACACAACTTCTTACAGATGGTTCTCCATAAACTGCCAGCTGACACCAACGCCCAAGTTCTAATGTGTGGAGACCTCAACCACACTATAGACTCACGCATGGATTCCACTGTCCCATTGACATCTGCCAGACATGCCTCACTCACACGCACCAACAAAGCTCTCACGAAACTACTACAACACCACGGCCTCTATGACGCTTGGAGGACATTACACCCACTAGACAGGGAATATACATTCTATTCACAAGTCCACAAAACATACTCCAGGATCGACCACGTCCTCTTGACTGGACCCCTCCTACAACAAACTACGGAATGCTCCATAGGGAACATAGTGTGGTCAGACCATGCACCTGTCACAATATCCCTCCGAGACACGTACCAACACAGAGGCAAACCACCGTGGCGTCTGAATGACTCCCTTTTAAAAGACGCAACCTTTGTACGACAGCTAACCGATCACCTACACGAATACTTTGACTTAAACGACACGACTGAAGTCTCTGTAACGACGCTCTGGCAGGCTCACAAATCGGCCATACGGGGGCCCCTGATAAGCAGAGCTTCCTACCTACACAAAAAAAGGGAAGGAGAATACATTAGCCTCTTGAGACAACTCCGGGACACGACAAATGCCCACCTTCTCAACCCGACTGAAACACGAGCCAATTCTATTACAGACCTCACCGCCCAAATCAATGCCATTGCCCTTCACAAAACAAACTACATGTTAACAAAGCTGAGAATTAAATCATATACTCAAGGCAACAAGGCAGGCAAACATCTGGCAACACTACTGAAACACAAACAAGCGAACTCCAAAATCCCTTATTTAGTTACGAAAACTGGGGTGAAAATTCACAATCCACAAGAAATCAATGACGAGATGGCCGACTATTACCATACACTCTATAATTTGAAAAACGACCCAACCACACACCAGCCCACAGCCCAGGGTATTGCCAAATACCTTCAACAAACCACCCTGCCCACCCTCTCAGAGGCCCAAGCCCAACTCATACAGCACCCCATTTCCACACAAGAGATTCTAGACACTATCCAAGGACTCCCGACAGGGAAGTCCCCTGGCCCAGATGGCCTATCTAACGCATATTATAAACGATTCGCACAAATACTCAGCCCATACCTCCGGAGACTATACACCCACATACTCAACACCGGCACCATGCCCCCAGAAATGCTAATGGCTCATGTCGCCACACTCCCTAAACCCGGGAAACCCCCAGACAGGTGTCAAAATCTGCGCCCTATCTCCCTCTTAAACACTGATGTAAAGCTCATAGCCAAGATACTATCAAACAGGTTAGCACCAATCATCCCATCACTGATCAAAGAGGACCAGGTAGGGTTTGTAGGTGGCAGACAAGGGGCCGACGGCACTCGCAAAGTTCTCAACATTCTCCACGGGCTGCGAGGGGGGAGGGCCCCAAGCGTGCTTCTCTCTCTGGACGCGGAGAAAGCTTTCGATCGGCTACATTGGCCCTTTCTCCTCGCAGTCCTCCGCAAGTTTAACTTCCCCCCCGCATTCATCTCCCTCATTACAGCCCTCTACTCTGCGCCTACCGCCAGAGTAGTCAATGGGGGATTCATCTCCAAACCGTTCTCAATATCCAACGGATCTAGACAGGGCTGCCCACTATCCCCCCTCCTATACATTTTAGCATTAGAACCCTTTACACAAATGATTAGGGACGACCCAAATATCCACGGAGTTAAGGTTAAAGGCCGCGAATACAAATTGTCTCTATTCGCAGACGACATCCTCTTGACATTAGAACAACCACACACCTCCCTTCCAAATTTTCATGCCCTCCTCGCCCAATACAGCCAGAACTCTTATTATAAGCTGAACATAACAAAAACCTTAGCCTTGGGAATCAACATCCCCAAACAGGAGCTGGACCAACTCAAAACCAACTTCACATATGACTGGAGGCAAGACCATATTAAATTCCTAGGGGTCAACTTCCCCCCTACGCCAACATCATTGTATAAATCTAATTACCTCAAGCTGCTCACAGACCTTCGAACTCTCCTACAAGGATGGAAAGGGAAGTTTATCTCCTGGGCCGGAAGAATAGCCTCGGTGAAGATGATAGCTCTACCGAAAATACTCTACCTTTTTAGGACCCTCCCGATCCGTCTCTCCAGCACCTACATTCGAGACTTACAAAACCTACTCATCACTTACGTATGGGAAGACAAAAAACCACGGGTGGCGAAATCTACCCTATACGGCACAATAACACAGGGAGGCATGGGAATGCCAAACATAATGGGATACTACAGAGCAGCAACAATAGCACCCATACTAGCGACTTCCCCGCAAAGAGAACCGAAAACCTGGGCCACAATAGAAAAAAAGACTATGCGAACGGCATACACATCTCGACTCTGGCCTGGCTACCGAAAAACAGCCTACCAAAACTGAACGAACTGCTGCCCACAACTAAGCTCACTCTCTCCATATGGAATGTCTACAAAAAACGGATGACTAATCCCGACCAAATCTCGCCCGCTCTCAGCATAAACGCCCTGCAACACCTCATACCGAATTTTAATCACTCTCTCTGGCATAGACATGGGATCAAATTGATGTCACAACTACTATGTGACACGCACCTTAAGACATATCAAGAGTTGGTATCGGAATTCACCCTACCCTCGACAGCAAAATACTCCTACATGCAACTGAAGTCATGGTTCGACAAAAACATGAAACAGCCACCTACCATCACACTGAACGCAGACTGGCGGAACGTAGAAAGACTTTACCTATCGCCAAAACCGCCTACCAAACTTATATCTACGATCTACCTTTCTGAAAACGCCCAGCATCAGAAAAAGCACCCCTCCCACATAATGGCATGGGAACGAGATTTTGGACGGCGACTTTCAGAAGCCCAATGGCGACGCATCTTTCGGACGCACCAAAAAATTACCCTTTGCGCAACCCACCTAGAACTAGCACGGAAGGTATTATACAGATGGTATTTAGTTCCGACACGCCTAAAGCGTTATTTTCCCAACACGTCCGACACCTGCTGGAGATGTGGCAACGACAAAGGCACTATGCTACATATCTGGTGGCAATGTCCAGAGCTCCAACAATTCTGGTGACAGGTGGCAGAGTTGACAACACACTGCATCGACACAAAATTACCACACCAACCTGAGACTTTTCTACTCCTCCAATTGCCGCACAAACTGACACTACACCATCGATACCTAGCCTACCACATCATTATAGCCGCTCTAACGACCATCAGCAGGAAGTGGAAACAAGCCTCTCCACCCACCATTGCACAATGCGTCCAAGCAGTAGACACAAACAAAACATACGAAACTATGGCAAGGGACACGCATGAAAAGACGTCGCACTGGTCCCTGGCTTGGGAGATCTGGGAGACACGCAGGTCTACCCACAAATAATAAGGACACGAGACTAACACCCACATCCCTAGACCAGAGACGTAAGCCGCCACACGAACCTCCACTGGTCAGACACACCCAAGCCCAAGACCCCTACTCAGCGAAGCCTATCTCTGAGGACCATCTCCCCCTTCCCCCCCCCCTCGCAGACCCAAGTAGCCCTTCCTCCTAGAACCACAAACGACCTTGGTAGTGGCCATTAGATAGGCACCTGCAACCTACACACGCGCAACTGAGCGCATCACAAGAAACCAGCCACCCATCATGAAACACCCCTAATGCACTTCTTGTTCAATAGCACTCTTTGACAGTACGAGACTAGCCCTAACGCAGTGTGCACATGGAACGCTACCCCAACAAGGTTTAACTAACACATTTCCCCCTTCCCTCCTTCTCTTTTGTATCCTATCCTAATTGCATTATACTGTGATTGTACTTATTATTTGCACCCTCTTACTCCCTTTCTATTCTGTACCCCGAGACATTCTATGTAATGCCTCCAACGAAAAACGAATAAAAATTGTCAAATTCAAAAAAGTGAGAAAATAATGAAATTAGTGAAAATGCTGCATGTCTATATTAAATAGACATTCCAAGTGCATAGGTGCCCACTCAGAACATATCGCCCGACACGCATTTCGGTGCACTAGCGTGTGCACCTTCATCTGGAGCAAAAAAAGACAGTACATAAAAGTGAGTACACTCACATTTTTGTAAATATTTTATTATATCTTTTTATGTGACACTGAAGAAATGACACTCTGCGACAATGTAAAGTAGTAAGTGCACTGCCTGTATAACAGTGTAAATTTGCTGTCCCCTCAAAATAACTCCACACACAGCCATAAATGTCTAAACTGTTGGCAACAGAAGTGAGTACACCCCTAAGTGGAAATGTCCAAATGGGCACAAAGTGTCAATATTTTGTGTGGCCACCATTATTTTCCAGCACTGCCTTAACCCCCATGGGCATGGAGTTCACCAAAGCTTCACAGGTTGCCACTGGAGTTCTCTTCCACTCCTCCATGGCGACATCACAGAGCTGGTGAATGTTAGAGACCTTGCGCTCCCCCAACTTGAGGATGTCCCACAGATGCTCAATAGGGTTTAGGTCTGGAGACATGCTTGGCCAGTCCATCACCTTTACCTTCAGCTTCTTTAGGAAGGCAGTTGTCATCATGGAGGTGTATTTGGGGTCGTTACGTTGGAATACTTTCCTGTGGTCCAGTCTCCGAAGGGAGGGGATCATGGTTCCCTCAATGAACTGTAGCTCCCCAGTGCCTGCAGCACCATGATACTCCCACCACCATGCTTGACTGTAGGCAAGACACACTTGTCTTTGTACTTGTCTTTGTACTCCTCACCAGTTGCCGCCAAATAAGTTCATCTTGGTCTGATTGGACCAAAGGACATAGTTCCAGTAGTCCACGTCCTTAGTCTGCTTGACTTCAGCAAACTGTTTGCGGACTTTCTTGTGCATCATCTTTAAAAGAGGCTTCCTGGGACGACAGCCAGGCAGACCAATTTGATGCAGTGTATGGTGTATGGTCTGAGCACTGACAGGTTGACCTCCCCCACCCCTTCAACCTCTGCAGCAATGCTGGCAGCACTCATACGTCTATTTCCCAAAGACAACCTCTGGATATGACGATGAACATGTGCACTCAACTTCTTTGGTCGACCATGGCGAGGTCTGTTCTGAGTGGAACCTGTCCTTTGAAACCACTGTATGGTTTTGCCCATCGTGCTGCAGCTCAGTTTCAGGGTCTTGGCAATCTTCTAATAGCCTAGGCCATCTTTATGTAGAGCAACAATTCTTCTTTTCAGCTCTTCAGAGAATTCTTTACCATGAGGTGCAATGTTGAACTTCCAATGACCAGTATGAGAGAGTATTAGAGCGATAACACCAAATTTAACACACCTGCTCCCCATTCCCACCCGAGACCTTGTAACACTAACAAGTGACATGACACCGGCAAGGAAAAAATGGCTAATTGGGCCCAATTTGGACATTTCCGCTTAGGGGGGTACTCACTTTTGTTGCCAACAATTTAGACATTAATGGCGGTGTGCTGAGTTATTTTGGGGGGACAGTCCATTTACACTGTTATACAGGCTGTACACTTAGTACTTTACATTGTAGCAGTGTCATTTCTTTAGTGTTGTTACATGAAACGATATAATAAAAATTAACAAAAATGTGAGGGGTGTACACACTTTTGTGAGATACTATATATATACAAATATATTGAATACATTGTTAAACACAATACACACACCAGCCAAGCCATAAGACTTGCTTTTCCCACAGAAATCTAACTTTAACAGTGCTCTCACTACTGCAAGGGATTCTGGGTAGGTGTATGCAAATGAGCTCAACAAAGAACCACATTTTTGTCTCATTTCCACTTTATACATGGATTCCTTGGAGTATGTGTCTGCTGTATACAACAGCTTTGAAACACAACTCAGGAAGTCAGTGAACCACTAGCACTGTTAAAGTGAGATTTCTGTAGGAAAAGCAAGTCTTCTGGCTTGATTGATGTGTGTATTCGTGTTTAGCAATGTGTTAATTATCCACTTACTTCAGGTGGAAGAGGTTTACACACACACACACACACAGTCATGGGGAAAGAGATGAAAGATAGCAGCGTCAGAGCGTTGCCATGGCTCATGAGAGAGAGAGGAGTGGACCACTGGACACTTGCCTAGTGAGAAGAGAGATCGGTAGGCTGTCTGTCTCCTCCTCCACTCCGCTAAGACTCACGATAAGAGCATTGGCACCCGGCAGGAAATTTTACCAGACCACTATGGAATGCAGTATCCCCCTACTTACAGATAATAGCAGATAATTATATTAAATAATTAAAAATGGATAAACCGTTTCTCTCACTCAACCCCATCTCAGCCCACTACACAAACTGCATAAACAAAACTAACACACCACATCCCCATACCACACTGGGTTCCCAATACACATACATCACATTCCCTGCTGCAGCTGTAAGTGTATACAAAATGGTGAAATCAGTGTTGGGCCCTGTCTGTAGGCGGACTCTGTGCCAGCCCCGTGGGCAGAATCGAGGTAGGCACCAGGCTTTGAGCTGTGTAAGGGGCCCCAAAATTTCGGATAGCAGCCCTGACTGCAAGAAATTGTGTACATGTGACAGGATGCCTGGTATTTCTGCGCATATTCCAGTTTTGGCTAGCATCAGATCTCATGTCTGGAAATTCAGAGAAAACCAGAAAAATCATAAAGCAGTCCAACTAGCCAGTTCAAAATTATGGCATGATAATTAAATATTCTTGACAAAATATAAGAGGAATAATGTACAGTACAAGATTACTGCAAACATTGCCAACATTGTACTGAGCAGTGTTAATTGTAGGGGGATATTGCCCGATTATCTTATTTTTAGACACTGTACGGATTTGTAAGCATAGTACTCAAAAACTTGTAGACTTTATTTGCTAAGATACTTGTGTGAGCATCCTGGAACATGTATTCCACAACATCTGGTAAAATAAGGTTTGCACCCTCCAGCCTAAAATAAAACAAATTAAATCACTTATTTATCAATTCCACTGGTTCTCTATAGGGAAGACTTGGGGAACTGCTATGCATGAGCAGCAATACTTTTTCTTAAAGCACATTTATTTTTATTCACAAAGCAAACTGTTACGTAATTACTTCTTTTAAAATTCTCCAATAAATGTTCCTTAACAAAAACACCAAGTTAAGAAATAAAGCCTCCATTTTGCTCAGCAATATATATATATATATATATATATATATATATATATATATATATAGAGAGAGAGAGAGAGAGAGAGAGATATATATATATATATATATATATATATATATATACAGTCAAGTTTTCATGATTCGCCTGATTGTGAGCAACTAAACTTGATGCAAAGGATACCTAAATAAGGAGCACAGTAGGCAGAATCGGCCAACCTTAGGGTGGACACACACCTTGCGCTTGATAAAAATAAGGAGTTTAAATGAGATATTAACCCTTTCCTGTCTTAAACTCTCACAACCTGAAAGGTTCCTGGCTCCTATTTGAACACATTGATTTGAGAAGAAACCTGCTAATGTGTGGCCCTGCAGACTCTGAGGAAACGTAGTCCACAAGAGTTGGAGTACCAAGTAACCAGATGTATGGTGTTTAGGATTTCTTAGTTACAGACCGAAGGGAAAGGCAACCTTCGGCACTCCAGATGTTGTGGACTACATCCCCCATAATGCTCTTACACCCATAATCCTGGCAAAGCATCATGGGAGGTGTAGTCCAAAACATCTGGAGTGCCGAAGGTTGCCTATGCCTGGACTAGGACTTACAGATATCCCCATGTCAGTAAAGAGGGCCAGTAAGTGGCTGTGTCATTTTGAAAGATCCCTGGCTTCATGTGCAGCCACCAAGTAACCATTGGAGAGTTCTGACATCTTACACGCAGGGTTGGCTACAACATATGACCTAGAACAGGGCTAGGCAACCTTTGGCACTCCAGATGTTGTGGACTACATCCCCCATAATGCTCTGACATCAATAATGCTGGCAAAGCATCATGGGAGGTGTAGTCCAAAACATCTGTAGAAGGTTGCCTATGCCTGCCCTAGCACTCTCTCTACAGGGCGCTGTAATGACGTTCGCCGTGTTTGTATACAAATGACATCACTAGTCCTCATGACGTCACCTGGGTGAGGTAGAGCTCCGGGTCGAAGTGTACGCCATCGATATCGGTAGGCTCGAGCAGCCTCTCGCCACCTTTGCCCTCCTCTGTTATCCCATAGTAAAGCTTCAGCATTCCGTGAGCCTTCCTCCTCTTGGCTACTTCCTCGTCCTCAGCTGCTGCTGCAGCGGCCGCCGCCATCTTTCTCCGTCTCCTTCAATGTAAAGTGTGCGCATGCGCGGTGTCACTAAGCTTTGACAACTCGTACAGAGCCACAGTCCAATGGGACCGCGCCCAGTGCGCATGCGTACAATGCAAGCTGAAGGACTGCAGCCCTCAATATGATTCACTCTTATTCACTCCTTATAATGCATGTTGAGAAGTGGCTCACACAGTAACATTTTTACCATCACTACTGCTCTGAATTAGGTTTTCCTTGTTATTTATTTTCCTGCGTTCGGGTGATTTAAATGTGTCAAAAAGAAAAAAAGTGAGCCCAGTTTTATAAAATATTTAAATAAATATTTAACAAAAAAATATAACAATTAAAATTCAAGTTCATTTAATCTATTTTCATTACTGCTGCTGTGTGGACTAGGTTCCCATTAGCATTAGACATGAAAATGGCTACATAGCATTAAATAAATATCTATATATTATGTTTTATATCCTGATGAATGTTTATATATTGAACTGAAATTTTTTTATTTTTTTTTGTAAATCACTGAAATGTTGACTTTTCTTGACACAGCAATATAAAGAGATTTTGCAGCAAAGACCCAGGATGCCGGTATGTATTATTTCTATGTGCAGTGTGTTACCGAGAAACGGGCATCTAAATAGCTAGAGTTGTTTAAAGGGACACTCCAGGCACCCAGACCACTTCTGCCCATTGGAGTGGTCTGGGTGCCAACTCCCACTACCCTTCAGCATGCAAGTGTAATTATTGCAGTTTTTTTATAAACTGCAATATTTACCTTGCAGGGTTAACTCCACCTCTAGTGGCTGTCTAGAGGGCACTTCCTGTATTATAGCACAGAAAACCTGCTAGAGCGTCCATGGACGTCCTCATACTGTGTGAGGCCCTCCAGCGTCGCTCAATTCCTCATAGAAAAGCATTTTCAATGCTTTCCTATGGAGAGCTCTAATGCGCGGCAATTCATTAGGTCTCCCCGGTTGGTGGTCGGGATCAGTCTCGCCCACCGGCCGACGCAATGCAGAGGAGCGGCGGCGGAGGAAGAAGCAGCGACGTGGGACATGTCGCTGCCTCTGGTAAGTCACTGAAGGGGATTTCACCCCTTCAGCAACCGGGGATTGGGAGGTGGGAGGGAGAGGGGACCTGCAGTGCCAGGAAAACTGATTGTTTTCCTGGCACTGGAGAGTCCCTTTAACATCCAGAATATACAGGGTGGCCCAGGTGTAGGTATATTGAATCAATGAAATTCATCACAACAGATTATATGGGTACACAAACACACTGACACAACAAAGTGGCCGTTACATTTCAGGCAACTAAATATCAGTGTGGCAGTTGGAAAATAGTGGAGGGCAGATAAAATAATTTTTTTTACAGTTTTCTTTACAGTTATTGTGAATGATGACAGCGAACTTGAATCAAGGACAGAGAAAGTGGATTCTAAAGCAGAACTGGAAAACTGAAAATGCTGGGTTGGCACAGCAAGGCAAGAAGTATTTGACACTCCTCCACCACCACGTCTGACAATTTATCAGTAGTGTCTCAACTCAGAACCAAGGATAACTTTGGCAATCTGCTCTTTCAACAAGACGGGGCACCTCCTCATTATGCTTTTAAAGTAAGGTACTACCTTGACAACACCTTCCAACAGCATTGGATCAGACAAAGTGGTAGCCTTGAATTGCCGCCACGTTCACCCAACTTAACACTGATGGACTTCTTTTTATTTTTGGGATGTAGTAAAGAATAAGGATTTTGAGAGGAAGCCTCACACAATGGACGAATTAAAAGAGTTAAATCTCGGAAGCATTTATGGACATTGATGCGGACAGGAATTTGTGTCATATTGTGTGGACACTAGACAGGTTCGAGGAATGTTGCAACGTTGATGGAAGCCATTTCTAGCACTCATGAGATTAAATAGTGCTGAACAAATAAAAATGTAAACAAATAAAGATAAACTATACTGTATATCTACTTTTGGGCCATCCAGTATATATGTTACTTGACCTTTATAAAACTGTGCTTCTTTTTAGTTTTTTGACTGATTAAAATCATGTGAGCTCCTCCCACCATGGAGCGCAGAAAAATTGCCTCCCGGACTCAACCACAAGGGAGCCGAGTCCGAGTGACAGCCACTAGAGGCATTTAACCCTGCATTAAAAACATTGATCTTCTGCAGAAGGACATTGTATTCTGCTGCAGGGTTAAATCCGGAACATGGCACCCATTGAGATGAAGTGGTATAATTGCCTGTAGTGTCTCTTTAAGTCATACACATCCATAACACACATCATATACATCTATAACATTTACAGCCAGCATACACATAAACAACACACAGACTGTCATCCCACACACACACACAGCCAACCATATACTGCTGAAAAACACATGAAGACAGCCATACACAGTTACAATACATATCCCACACAACTACCCTTACAGATACTTTACAACTAAACCCACAGTAATCCTCCTCCCCCCCCACCACACACATAACTTTTTAAAGGAACACTCTAACCACCTTACAAGGGCCTGTTCTCATGGTTATTGTACCAGGAGCCCTCTGGTGCCCTCCAAGATTAAGTAGTTTAACAGTTGAAGAACATTTTGAAAATGTATATGGGCCGCACCTGATGCCACCTTCCCTGCTCTTGGAAGGTCCTGCCACTACTTGGGCCCAGCCGTGTAGAACTGCCCTCATTGGCTGAGATTGCTTAGCTGACACTCTAAACCAATTAGCTCGCCCTGCACAGCATGACCTAGCTGACAAACTCCATTACCTGGAGAGGTACCTGTGGGACCCAGGTAACGTGACACATCGTTTAAAAAAAAAAAAAAAAAAATATGACTAAATACCCAGAAAGAAGCATTAGGGCACTATAACCTCTACGGCAAGCACCTTATATAAAATTAAAAAGTAACAAAGGAAGTGAATTCCTGGGTGCACACCCTAATTAAATGTAGTGTACATGTCTGTGCTGCAGCCTCAGATAACCTTTGTTCAATCACATGCTTCTCATACAGAAGAATGGGGGCAAACATGGCACATGTACCATCTAGATTGCACATTCCTACAGAGCCCTCACCTCTTCCTATATTAGATTGTCAAATTTTGTATTGTCTCTTAGAACTATTGTACGGTTTATTTTTACTTGTACCATTTGTAACCATGGACAGCGCTGCAGAATATGTTGGTGCTTTATAGATACAGTATAATAACGTGTATCATGAGATGCACATAATACAATACTTCTCTATAAGAAAAGCCAGACAGTCACAGAGTCCATTGACCAATTCTTTGTACATTCCTCCCAACACTGGGATGCATTAAATTTGATAGGGGTGGGTCTATGGGGTTGTGCCAGCAACATCACTAGCATTAGTGGCAATCCTCAAAGAAGCAGCATTGCCAGGAAAGGAGAAGACTGTCTGAAGAAAAAGCCTCAGCCTATTTTTAGTTTTGGGCAGTATATGTGCAGAGTGTTTTTTAAAGAGTCCATAATCATAAAGTAGGTGACACGAACATTAAAAATACATTTATCAGCACGAAGAGTTGATATAAAACTCAGCAGTTTTAGTTCCCTTACGCAGCTTCTTATACCGCTGATTGTTTGAATAATTTTTCCCTTTTTTTTTTTTATATTTGTAACTTGCCATCCACCCCTACAGGGTTTTTTAGCCGTTTCACTCCTACTTGCCTTACCTGTTGTGTGCTTAGGCAATGCCCTACAAGTCCACAATCTTGGACTGACTCTTTTCTCCTTTCAGCGTTCCAGGGTTATAGAGATCTTAATTCCTGCTTTTCAAAGCACCATGCTTTCAGGCTATATATGGATGCCCATAGGTTCACCTATAGAACCCATATGCACACTATCACTGATAGAGCCTGTCATATTATCTTGGTGGGTCTTACCAAGTCTTCCTCATTGTACTTACTACTTGCAGCCCCATTGCACCATCTCGGCAAGGGCCGTGCTTTTGTGATGCCCAGGAAGCGTTGGTACTGTAAAGCACACATTTAATTACATAAATTGATACGGGCTTGAACCTATAAGACAGTGTTAGCATTTGCAGCCCTCTCATGTTTAACCAGCAATTTTGTAAGTTTTTACATGTTTTGTTTCGCTGCCATTAGCTATTTGTTTGCAATTGCTAGTACATGATGTGGTCGATCATGTTTTGTTAATGTTGCCGCTGTGTTGTCATTACTTGTCGCATGTCTGCCTAATACCTAATAAAAACAGATTGACAAATAAAAAAACTAAATGCATCTATTTTTTTTTTTTTTTTCCCCCATGTCTCAATTTCTATTGGTTATATAGTTGACATAAGCATAGTATAACATAGTGCATCAGTATTCAAATATCAGCTAGCACTTATCATCGCCAACAGATTCCGTAGCGCTTTACAATATTACTTGTCAACATATTCTTCCTCTAGTGCTCTGTGAAACCCCAACATCAACTTATACATTTGTGTGAGTTTTTGTGGTCATTCATTGCATTGTTATCCCAATTTCTTAGTTCACATGTAAGTTATTAATTTCTTTTTATGGTTAGTCTTTCTTTTAAACATCACTGATCTATTGTAACTAAATACAGAATGCCAATCCTTTGATCTAAGTAACGATCATAGGCATTATTGTTGAATAATAATTAGGGTGCTGCAGCTCCGGTTTGTATATGCCAATTACACCTCTCTGTATTTGCCAAGACAGATTTAGGAAGAGGCAATTCTGAATACATTTTGGGTGTAGTTCACAAACAAGCAGGTTTATTCACTAAACTTCAAATGAAAGCAAATTAAAATCCAAATGGCAACATTTAGAAAAATATTTGGAGATATTAGTGGTAAACTGCCAAGAATTCCAAGTGGAAAAAAAAAGATAAAGCTGTACTTTATACTGATGCATTATAAAGGCAATAAAAATACTGCAAAAAAAAAAAAAGTGTCCCTAAGTGGGTTTTCTATATCAAGCAGAGATTCACCAATCATGAAACTCTCATTCTAGTCAAACAGATGTTACAAAGTATATCCCTAACCTGCACTTTCTGTCATTACACAGGATGCCTAAGGATCGTATTGAACAGTTGTTATGGGCAAATGCAAATATTACAAGTTTTAGAATGAAATGTTGTATTTCTTAAACTGTGTACTTTGTCTTTAAGAGATATTGCAAACTGACAAGGTGTTAGAAATGGAACATATTGAACATATATATTTTTCATAACGGTTTCTTTAAGTAATAACCTCATTGCATAATATCTTTGCGCCATTCTGTCCCAGACGAATTACAATAACAATAATGCATAAACAAGCTTCAAGGCTATGCTACGACTCTTTCAGTACACAATATACCGTGGTAACCTTAAGTAGATAAGGATGTCCAGACTTTAAGATGCCATCTTGAACCAAGTCAGGAAAATTTCCATGACGTATACACCCTTTAGTTATGGCCTTGTATGTTTGCCAAATTAAGGTCCTAAAATGAATAAAGTAAAAGAAGTGTTACTTTTTCATATATGAACTACGGTAACCCTAAAATGGAGACACCTAAGGTATAAATAGGTGTACTTTTAAATGTACAGACACAGAGGAGAGACTTGGAGACAGACGCTGCTCCATCTTAAAATGACAGAGAGGCTGACATGATGACATGTTCAGAAGGGTATGTTAACCTATTCATATTTGCAAGCATTTAGTTTAATCTTATAAACTCTGCTATATGGATTTTATATGTCTATATTTATATAATAAATATCTAAAAGACAAAACTATTGCTTCCAAGACAATCCTTATTTTATATTGTATTCTCAATTATTTATATATGTTAAATAGAGGATCTCTTTCTAACTTTATACAATTCTGGCTAAGATATCTGTATGGTTAGTCCTACTAAGTTCTATGCTTTAAGACATTATAGTGGTAAACAAGGGAACCACACAGTATTATACACTGATAGGAGCCATACAGTCTATTATCAGTTTATACACAACCTGGTCCACTATTTAGTGAATTGGACTGTGTATTGCCACATAGAACAAATGTGCAGTCCACAGCCCAGCTTTCTCCAGCATCAAGAGAGCCTTAAAGGACCACTATAGTGCCAGGAAAATACAGGGAGTGCAGAATTATTAGGCAAATGAGTATTTTGACCACATCATCCTCTTTATGCATGTTGTCTTACTCCAAGCTGTATAGGCTCAAAAGCCTGCTACCAATTAAGCATATTAGGTGATGTGCATCTCTGTAATGAGAAGGGGTGTGGTCTAATGACATCAACACCCTATATCAGGTGTGCATAATTATTAGGCAACTTCCTTTCCTTTGGCAAAATGGGTCAAAAGAAGGACTTGACAGGCTCAGAAAAGTCAAAAATAGTGAGATATCTTGCAGAGGGATGCAGCACTCTTAAAATTGCAAAGCTTCTGAAGCGTGATCATCGAACAATCAAGCGTTTCATTCAAAATAGTCAACAGGGTCGCAAGAAGCGTGTGGAAAAACCAAGGCGCAAAATAACTGCCCATGAACTGAGAAAAGTCAAGCGTGCAGCTGCCACGATGCCACTTGCCACCAGTTTGGCCATATTTCAGAGCTGCAACATCACTGGAGTGCCCAAAAGCACAAGGTGTGCAATACTCAGAGACATGGCCAAGGTAAGAAAGGCTGAAAGACGACCACCACTGAACAAGACACACAAGCTGAAACGTCAAGACTGGGCCAAGAAATATCTCAAGACTGATTTTTCTAAGGTTTTATGGACTGATGAAATGAGAGTGAGTCTTGATGGGCCAGATGGATGGGCCCGTGGCTGGATTGGTAAAGGGCAGAGAGCTCCAGTCCGACTCAGACGCCAGCAAGGTGGAGGTGGAGTACTGGTTTGGGCTGGTATCATCAAAGATGAGCTTGTGGGGCCTTTTCAGGTTGAGGATGGAGTCAAGCTCAACTCCCAGTCCTACTGCCAGTTCCTGGAAGACACCTTCTTCAAGCAGTGGTACAGGAAGAAGTCTGCATCCTTCAAGAAAAACATGATTTTCATGCAGGACAATGCTCCATCACACGCGTCCAAGTACTCCACAGCGTGGCTGGCAAGAAAGGGTATAAAAGAAGAAAATCTAATGACATGGCCTCCTTGTTCACCTGATCTGAACCCCATTGAGAACCTGTGGTCCATCATCAAATGTGAGATTTACAAGGAGGGAAAACAGTACACCTCTCTGAACAGTGTCTGGGAGGCTGTGGTTGCTGCTGCACGCAATGTTGATGGTGAACAGATCAAAACACTGACAAAATCCATGGATGGCAGGCTTTTGAGTGTCCTTGCAAAGAAAGGTGGCTATATTGGTCACTGATTTGTTTTTGTTTTGAATGTCAGAAATGTATATTTGTGAATGTTGAGATGTTATATTGGTTTCACTGGTAATAATAAATAATTGAAATGGGTATATATTTGTTTTTTGTTAAGTTGCCTAATAATTATGCACAGTAATAGTCACCTGCACACACAGATATCCCCCTAACATAGCTAAAACTAAAAACAAACTAAAAACTACTTCCAAAAATATTCAGCTTTGATATTAATGAGTTTTTTGGGTTCATTGAGAACATGGTTGTTGTTCAATAATAAAATTAATCCTCAAAAATACAACTTGCCTAATAATTCTGCACTCCCTGTATACTTGTTTTCCTGGCACTATAGTGCCCTGAGGGTGCCCCCACCCTCAGGGTCCCCCTCCCGCCCGGCTCTGGGGAGAGGAAGGGGTTAAAACTTACCTTTTCTCCAGCTCCGGGCGGGGAGCTCTCTTCCTCCTCTCCTCCCTTTCGGCTGAATGCGCACGCGCGGCAAGACCTGCGCGCGCATTCAGCCAGTCTTATAGGAAAGCATTTACAATGCTTTCCTATGGACGCTTGCGTCTTCTCACTGTGATTTACGCCTCTAGTGGCTGTCAATGAGCAAGAGGATTTGGAGGCTCGATTAACCCTAATATAAACATAGCAGTTTCTCTGAAACTGCTATGTTTATAAAAAAAAAAAAAGGGTTAATCCTAGAGGGACCATTGCAGCCAGACCACTTCATTAAGCTGAAGTGGTCTGGGTGCCTAGAGTGGTCCTTTAACTAATGTGTGTGTGTAGTGTGCACATACTTCATGCACATTATGGATGAAATTAATATAAGGCAGCCTGGGATAAATTGTTCAAGGCTTCCAGTGGACTGTGTTATAGCTGCAGCAATGTGTACAGTTTGCTGCCAACAAAGCTCACTCTAAGTATTATTAATGCAGCAAAGTAATTCACTACGATTCAGAGTTCACTGAATAATATAGAGAGTTTCAAATTTATGGCCAAAGAGTCTGAAATTAAAAAAAAAAAAAACCCTCAAATAATGATTTCAGTTCAGCTATTTTGAACCAATATTTAATACTCTCCTTGCATTCACAATTCACACTTCAATGAACAACGAGTTAGGATTCCAGTTATTGACAGTTGATTTCAGTCAATAACACACTTAATTTAGTAAACTCTAAAATTTAAAGACTTCCTCCAAATAGATTCAAGCGGGGTTCTGAACTGGAATCCACCATATATTTAGCTCTACTTTTTCTGAAATGTATAAAAGCCAACAAATGCTTAAAAATATAAAATAAAATGTTCAAAAGTGTAGCAAGGTGGGAGTTAAAGTAACACTGAGCACCAGAAGAACTTCATCTAAACAAAGTTGTTACAGTACTCAGAGGCCCGTGGGCACACTCTTACATTAAGTGGTTAAAGGGACATTATAGTCACCCAGACCACTTCAGCTCAATGTAGTGGTCTGGGTGCCAGGTCCCTCTAGGGTTAACCCTTTCTGATGTAAACATAGCACTTTCAGATAAAAATGCTTTCCTACGGACACTTTAAATGCTCATTCGGCTCCTGTGACGTCGGATGAGGATGCTGACGTCGGTGGGGGAGATTTTTTTTAAATTTTTTTTTAAGGAAGTTAAGATTGTTGAGTTCTGCCCACACACCCACACCCTCACTCTCACTCCCCCCCTCCCCGCAATCTAGTCACCCCTGTCCTCTTAGGCTACTTTCTATTTCAGTATTTTTGGAGAGCGGTACCTGAGCGCAACATAGTTTGGCAGGCAGTGATTGGTGGAGAGTGGCTTCTGAATGGCTATCCCACCTGACAGTGTTATTGTTAAACCATTATTCCTTGATTGTGGCCAATTTTTTATAAAAAAAAACAAAAAAAACAAGGAACTACCTTTCAAGTGTCTTGTGTCAAATCAGTATGCATGTGTGTTAGTGAGCAAGTGTGTCAATCCAGTGAGGGTGTGTGTCAAACCAGTGAGTGTGTCAGTGCGTGTCAAGCCAGTGAGTGTCAAGTCTTTAATTTCACTTTTCACACAATGTATCACAAGGAGCACCAGTTTGTTCACTTTATTTTAGTATTCTTAACCAAAGCCTTTTAATCAAGTATGACTGAGTATTTTAACAAAAAAATAAAACAACATAAATAGTTATAATTTGGCTTTGATTTTTCCATAACTCCTTCATGACCGAACGGTTTTCTAAATTCCATGCATTTGTGATTGAGTTTTTCGGTCTTACACTGTAACACTTGATCTTTAAGTACATGTATACATATCTTTTTTTAAAGGACAGAGTGTTAAAAAAAAATAATAAAAAAATAGCCCTATTGCCATGTGCAGCACAAAAAAAATATTTGTTTTGTTTATAACAAAATTCTACCAATCCCCCCATCCACCACCACCATCTTCATAAAAAAATCATATGTAAGAGTGGTATAGTGGTTGTGATTTCCACCAAGAGGGGAAGATCCATATTGCTCCCATTCACTCTCAGTATATTTGTTTTTCGTCTCATAATTCAGTAATGCTGGGCATATTGCTATGACAAAAACATATGCGCTGAAGAAGCCTATGTGTTTTTTTTCCAGTACACTACTGCTACAGGATTGTAGTAAAATAATATTCAAATATTACCGATTAAGAGGTCTAGCTATGTAAAAATGGAAAGAGAAACTATATTTTAAGGTTTCTACTTTACTCCAGGAGCTCCGGTATGCAATGTAGAGCTGAAGTCTATTCATCCACAACTCAAGAATTAGTACATGTTACTGAATGTCTTGCTCCCAAAATAAAGCTAAGATCTATTTAATAAAACAAAAACAAATATATAAAATGGTTTAAAACACTTCTAGTTTCAGGAAGTAAAGGAATTTCATATAAGAATACTAAGGGGCAACAAGGCACATGGCATGTGTAGAACCATTATTGCTAACTTTTACAGAGCCAATAATGTCAATAAACCCCTTGTATACAACTGGAAAATGCACAAAAAAAGCCATAACCCCATCTAACACCCAGAGGGTTAGACCAACAACTTGCTTGAATATTGAGAAATGGCCGTCTGTTGACAAACACTGATCCAAGCACACAACCAAAGCGGGAGATCCAACGTTACGAATAAAGAGTTTATAAAAGCTTTAAAAACTCAAATGTCTTATTAACGGCTAGGGTGCATTAAATTACATATCAACAGAGTAGTGATGAAAATTTGAATCACATGTGTAGGGATAGGCACAGTCTGGTGCAAATACTTTTTAACATACACCTTGAAAATACTGTTAATGTGTAATAATAATAATAATAATAATTTATTCCACTTATGCAAAGAAAAGGGTATGTAATGCAAACTGCAGATATTGTTCAAAATGTATTGGCTCAAAATAAAGGAGGAACCTCCCCCCCCAATTAAAATAACTTCTACAAAATAAACCCAGAACAAAACCACATGCTGCTCTATTGTGATCTTTAAAAAAATTGAAAGACTAAGCATTCCTAATACTGAAAAATGTGGCAAAACATTACAGATGGCTGTAAATGCTATAAAATCATTAAGCACAGAGCTCTTAAAAGAATCACTTGACATGTTGCTGGTATTATACGTGTACATTAGCAGGAAAACCTGCTGGAAAAAAAAAGTAAAATGGAGGAATGGGAACAGATTAAGAAAGTTAAGACTGACTAATTAACAAACAGGGTAACCATTCAGCAGAAGAGAAGTTACAACTGGGCCTCCACAGAGTACACAATGGAAGTAATAAGATGTGATGGATATTATGAATATTCTGCTCCCCACCCCAGTTTAAAGAAAGTGTGCATCAAAGACCCTCCCCAAATCATGTCATTCTGAACTAAAAAAATGTCTTTTCATAACTTTTAAACAGTCCTGCTTTTTATTTAAAGCTGTGTTATAGGAATATAGCTATACATATTTTTTTTCTCACTTTTTCTTATGTCTGAGTTTTTTCATGGCAAATGTTTAATTGTTTCAACCAAGAAAAGCAAAGTGGAAGACTGCGGAAGAAAAATAGATCATGCCACTTTACTCATTCCTCCTTTTCGATGGAGGTATAAGATGAGATGGGAGGTCTGCTGGGAGCTCATGACCTTCTAATTTTACTCTAATTAGATGATTTGCCAGTGCAAACTCTTCATCGTCAAGCAGCCCATCATGGTCAACATCTGCCAGTTTCCAGATCTTGCCCAGCACTGTGTTGGGAAGTTTAGATTTCACCATCTCTTTCTTGGCACTGGCACCTGTGATCTTGCCATTGACTGGTGACAATGTATAAAATATTTCATCATATGTTGGCTTGTCCTTTGCCACCACCCATTCAATGTCATCAATGCCCTCTCCAGCTCCTTCACCATAGCCGTGACCAAAGGGCCCATTCATAGTACCCTCAAATGCACCTCCTTTGACATCTTGGTGGGTCATCTGAGACTCTTCTTGCCGCACCAACACCATTAGTCGAGCAATGTCATTTGCTAACATGTCATCTATTGTGTCCAGAAGTTTTGGCTTTAGGCTCTGGAACTTGGAAAAGTCCTGAGTCATCAGTATCTCCTACAAATAAGGGACATAATAAATTTAATGTGTATAAAAACTGTATAATCAATTTTGAAATATATAAAAAGTAACAGGCTTAACTATTTTGTATCTTCCTAATACTGAAACACCCAAATTGGCAAAAATAAGGGGGTGAAATTGACTTTTTTAGCACATGAATAAAGACATGCTGAATAACCCACTCCCACTGGTTGTTGTTATACTAAAACACAAAAAAAATATTATATATATTTTTATAAGTTTCCCCTTTCTTAATTCTTTATTTATTATCGATAGAAACAAAGGCTAAGAGGGTAGTGAGAAAATCCAGTCATTTCATATATTAAATAGGTTAAAACAGATGTAGAGGTTTACTGCCAATTTAACCAATTATGTCTTGTATTTGGGAAAAAAGCGTTTTTCAGCTATCCTGTGACTAAGACCAGATGTGCTGCTAAAGTGATTTTACTGAGATTTTTTATAATTTATGTGAATGGCTAGATAGCTAAAAGTATTTTAGCAGTTCATAGAACTGCAAGTTCAAACATGGTAAAAACCCCACTGGTTTATGCAAATTCACAATTTATTGTTGTGCATCACCTACATAGTAGGACACTAGAACAAGTCTGCTTGAGCAAAACAATCCCTAGAACTTATGTTTCTAAAATCCTCAAAATATAAAATCCCTAGAAATTATGTTTCTAAAATCTGCAAATAAATGAAACAGGCATCAAACAGGCATCACGTTTCAGTGTACATTTATGTCAGCACTCTCAACGATGGAGCACAGTTTTAAAAAATAAGGCACTGAGTTCACAAAGTTGTGATCCAAAAGGTTTCACGACTAGAAACCATGTACATGTACACAAACATACACAAATAGTGCATTATAAAATCTTTAAGGTTCTTCACCGCACCAAAAATTATTTTTAAACAAATTCACTTTTGGGTGAAGTGAAGATCCTCCAAAAACATAAAAAAAACATTTGATCCATTACATTAACTAGGAGGGAATATCTTAACTGTAGATGGCAGTAGTCACTGCCATACTGGCTAGAAGTGGATAATTGCATGTAATAATGTGTTTTAATAGCAGAACTTTACAGTAGTGTGTATGCCTTGCATACCTGCATTTTCTTGATGCTGGGGAAGTCTCCAGGGGAGATTTGATGCTCTTTCTCAATCTTCAGGTAGATTTCTCCCAGATTGGTAATTAGTTCTTTCTTCTTGTTATCCTTTCCAAATACATTTGGCATTTCTTTTTTTAAAGCACTTATGATATAGGCATGGACCTTAAAGGGTGACAATTGATATAGAGGTTGGTATAGATGTTGGCATATGACAAGAGAACATTAAGGACCACTTCACAGACAAAATTATGAAGAAAATAAAAATCACTGTTTAGAATATATACCCTCAATGAATACATACATGCATGCATTTTTCATGGGGTATACCGGTATCTTAAAATACCTTGCAAAAGCTGCAGTTCTTACAAAAATCAAGCTGAAGTGCTTTATGGGTGTCAATATATATTGTCATTATATATTTGTTACTTTATTAAAATGAAAGTGCATACTTACATCACTTGCAATAATTAAAAATCCACCAGTACATATGTGAAAATATTTTTTACTGCTAAGTGTAATCTTAAGGAGAAGTTGGCATATGGGAGATGTGGAGATATATATTTCTCGACATACCATAGCTATCTGACTCTCTAGCATCAGGCTATTTTTTTTTATTTTTTTTTGTAGATTGTGATCTTTGGAAACATTATGCAATGGGCAGAGTTTGGAAAGGTTCCGTTTCAGTGGCCAAGATAATGTATCCACAATCTATAAGGCAAAAGCATCTCACAGATGGGCAAGCTACAGATAGCATGGACAGAAGAGAACAAAAACTGAGGCACCCATATAATGAGACCTTTTACCAGCATTATGGTTTCCTTGGTGCTGCTCAACTCTGAGATGAAGTAGTCTAGGTGACTAGACTGTCCCTTTAAATGAACACATGGAATGGAGGCTAAGGAGAGTCACCTTTTGTCTGTTTTTCATGCAAAACAAAGTCCACTAAATGAACACTAAAGGTTAAGAGGGAATGGGTTTTGGTAGTGCAAGCACATCTGATGATGTGAATTATGATGTTTATAAACTATATGCAACAGAATTCTATATAATAGAAAATAAATATATGAAGTAATTTTACCTTGGCTAATCTAGCTCTCTTTATGAGGTCATTCAGCTTGCGTACAGCAGCATTTCTGGGTAGTGACTGGATATCCTTGAATAGGTCCTGCTCCTCTGCTTCAAACAGTTTGCGATTGTCAGGGATAAGCAGAGGGTGTGACCAAAATGAACCAATGTATACCCGAACCACTTCAGGTGTGTTAATAATCTTGCCAAGAGACCACATAAGGGCCCCATAGACCCTCATTAGTTGCTGGGTCTCAATCTGGTCTGCTTTGTTGAGTACCACACGAATTTTGTCTTCATGATTCTTCAGTGCTTTGATGACATCGGAAAATTCATCAGAAATGTCCAACTTGTGTGCATCAAAGAGTAGAATAATACGATCTACCCGCTCAGCAAACCACTCCAGAACTGCTGCAAAGTCATAACCTGAAAAACAACAATATGGTTATGTGGACACTATATTATAATTAACCACCAACATATTCTGCAGAATTGTACAATTCTAATAATACACCATAAACAGGTTTAGGCAAACATGAAGAGGGGCATACTCAAATGCGGGAATTAAAGAACTGTATACATTGAATGAATAAGTATTACACATGTGACAAATAGGAAAAACTTGATTCGTCGTATTGGGAGTCTACATATTGCAAGCTTACGTGCCACATGCAGCTGGCAGGAAGGCGACACCTGCTGGGTTAATAGGAGTATAGCAAAAGGGAGCTGCACTTCAACTTGTTGCGCTTGATTGAGGCTCAATCTTTGATGATGAATTAAAAAGCGGTGGAGGTCCAGGTCTGTTACTCTTTTCTTTTCTTTTGACATGCCACTAACAATGCCATTCAATTGCTTTAACATGTTTAGCTCTTCCTTGTTCCGAAGGTAACATTTGATGCACAAACCTGTATGCTTGCAATCTAATGTTGGTTGCTAGGAAGCAGAGAGTATATTCTAATATATGGTTGCTGCAACAAAATAATTTGATCGGCACAGCATTGTAGCCATTATTGTCCAACACGTTTTATATTACATATATAGAAAATCTTGCAGACCACAAAGACCTTTAACTAAACATCGGCACTATTGTCAACTTAATAGCCTTCTTTGAAAGCTTTTAGTATGACTCTCCACTATAATAGTGTACATTACACTGTTTTTTTCTTTTATAACCATGTACCTCCATTAACTAGTAGGACCAACATCTGGCACAAAGCGTTGCCCCATCAGTGACATTGAGCGACGTATGAAGGCAATCAGTGCGGGGGGAGGGGGAGGCTTACATTTTTTTTGTTTAATATCTTTTTATTTAGAAAGGAGAGTCCATTCATTAACTTTCTAAAGAGATTCGCATATCACAGTGAAGTGCGGGACTCGCAGGTCTGCCTCAATTGTTGTTGTCGTGCAGGGACTTATAACATTAGCCCGCGTGCAGTGTCCCCAACAGCACATATTGGCACAAGAGAAAGCATAACATAGATAACCATACAGTAGGTCAGCGTTGTGGGGGGCTTAAATTTATGTAGAGACACTATAGTGTTTGGAATACAGGTTTATATTCTTAACACTATAGTGTTCTTTCAAAAGTATTGACCCAAGAAGACACACACACACTAATCCAGACATACATACACATTGTTTAAAAAATACACACACTATTAAGTCCCCCTCTTGCCCTCATTTAATTTTAGCTTGCTTCTGGCTTCCTTGACTCCCTCTCGGCTCCGCCTCTCTCTATCCTCCCGCCCACTTGACCCAGAGTACAAGAGAAGGGGTGGGAACGATCACAAGATGCGCCCGTGCGGTGAGAGGTGTGTTGGGGGGAGGGGGGCAGGTGGCTCTCTGATCTTTGTGGGCTTAGGTTGATGGCACCGGGCACTAGTTTGCAGCTATGCAAGTGCACCCTAGCACCCGGTACTATGAAATGCGGCACACATTTTGACCCGGCGCCCCCCATAAAAAGCTCCCTAGGTGGCCGCCTAATCGGCCTCTAGGACACGCTGGCCCTGAATGCATTGAAAACCAATTAATCCGTTCTGGAGGTCAGAAAAAAGTCAAAAACTCGTTTTCCTGGCACTATAGGGTCATTAGGTCCCCCCCACACCCTCAGGACCCCCGTTCAGTCACCTTTGTCCAGCGTCGGGCTCCCTCTGTGCTGGGGAACTTTCCACCCCCTGCGCGCATTCAAATCGCCCATAGGAAAGCATTACTCAATGCTTTCCTATGGATATCCAGCGTCTTCTCACTGTGATTTTCAATGAGAATCGCGCAAGTGCCTCTAGCGGCTGTCAGTGAGACAGCCACTAGAGGCTGGATTAACCCTCAGTGAAACATAGCAGTTTCTCTGAAACTGCTATGTTTTCAGCTGCAGGGTTAAAACTCCTGGGACCTGGCACCCAGACCACTCCACGAAGCTGAAGTGGTGTGGGTGCCTATAGTAATCCTTTAATAGCAGCATTGAGTAATTGTCTTGAACATTAATGGGGCTTGTTCATATTCAGATACATGCTTGCATTGGCTTGGGATGTCAGTAGTAAGTACTACTATATAAATACATTTTACTACATAGTGAATATTCTAGAGATAGCCTCTTTTGCATTGGTAACAGTGCATTGTTACAAATTATATATCCATTTGGTTGCATCGTCTAGCTCTAGTGCTTTTTTTGTTTTAACATATTCTGGACACAAGACTCTTTTCTCTAGACAATCGAACCTCTAATATTTTTACCATATTCCAGCCTGTTAGTTGCTATGGCTACAAGCTGGAACGCACGCCGCCGCTCAGGCAGGCACACAGAAGTCCATTTTTGGGCACACGCCAAACACAGGGGGGGGGGTGTTTGGCGTGTGTCCAAGGTATAAGTTTATACATTGTTTTTCTAATATTTAAAAGTTTTGCATATATAACTGAAAGTGCTGTCCTTTTTGTTATTTTTGCTGATAAGGACGGGGCATTGAAATTATTTGGCTTCCGGAGTGCAGGACATGGAGATCGATATAGATAGATGGTTAGCTATATATAGAGAGATGCACACACATACACAAACACGCATGTGAAGAAACAGCACTCAAAAGGCTTTAGCAAAAAATAAAATACTAGAATTGTTTGCCATTTCTGTGTATACAATCAATTTTCTTCAGAACATCTAAAGTTTTAGCAAGCACAAATAAACAAACATGATTCTGATTCAGAAACAAACACAAAACTATGCTCTAGAACAGGGGTAGGCAACCTACGGCACTGGTGCCATGCACGGCACTCGAGGTGTCTTTGCACGGCACTCGAGGCTGCTAGAGCCAAACAGGATCTGTCCTATCAAGAGTCCCAGTCAAACTTCAGATATCTGCTAATACGAAGAGGTGATGAAGGACAATCCTCAATTTATGCATTGCAGCACATAGAGGAAGTGATCTCAGAGCACTTCATTCTAGCACTTGTGAATGGGAATCCACACAGTAGTAGAGCAGCTCGCAGTTGCTGTTGCAGCTCCTGTCCTTGACCTGTACTTGGCTGGCCTGGTCCCCAATGGAACCCAGGGAAGCCACCCACACTGCTAGATATACACAGAAATGCAGAATAACCCTTCCCTCATACAAATAATACGGACAGCCCACACACAAACATACACACAATCCGCACAAACGCAACACCAGTAACAATCCACATACATGCACACAAACCAACATGCAGCCTCTCACATGCAATACCCCAAACAGCCCCCACACACTACCAAACACACAATGTGACATATTCACCCACACACAATTCCACAAGCAGTCCCCATACACAGCCCACATTCATATGTATCATACACGATACCACAAACTACTCCTGACCATATACAATATAATAGCTCATATACGCACACATACAACGATACAAAGCAATTACAGTAAAAATAATACAAGCAGAATAAGGCAGCATACACACCTCCATTTAAAAAAAAAATAGGACCGGCACACTACGGGACATCACAATCCTATATCGGCACAGTGCTGCTAAAAGGTTGCCTACCCCTGCTCTAGAACCACTGCTCAGATCACCTATTATAGCAGAATTGTCAGCAACCTTTCAGGCTAATTGCAAACATTGTTTGATTATTTTATCTTTTCTTTTAGTATCACCTCAGGCCAACACTGTAAAACAAAGGTTTCTTCACAGCAGGTGGTGTTCACGTCTGGGGTTCTAGGGCAGTATGGGTTTTTAATTGAATCATCAACCTAATAAATTTAGTGGTTTACTGTATTTATATTATTTTTGCTAAAAGTCCTTTAAAGGCCATTCCTTTGCTTGTATATATTTTATTATTTGCTGAACATAATACATACACACACTTATTTAGTGATGTGAGAATTCAAGGTGAATTTCAGATTTCAGGTCAGAGTAACCAAACTGAAAGCTATGCTGATAGAGAATTTTTATTGTTTGGCTGCATTAAACAAATTGGAAATTGAGTTTGAACTCACACTTTAGTGAATAACCCTGACAAACAAACATACATGCACACTAATGTGCAAAAGTGATTACAAAATGGGTTAAAGTAAAAAAAAAGTTCAAAACAGAAATGTTAAGTTTGCGTTTTGTTACTTGATAAAAAATAAATAAAGTAAGTGAATATATATTAAAACTCCCATATATTTACTCCCTGATATTTAAGTTGATCATTTAAGGTGTGAGGTATAAACACATACACAGACAAAATATAAAATAATTTTGCATTAAATTCCCAGTATGACATATCCAAGCAGTCTCAGATCAAAAAAGCACCTTCATAAACCAACAATCTGCCTTTGGAACAGACTATCATTAATGTAGAACGTACATCTTGTCACTTTGGATGGATAGATTTCTAACCCCTTATAACCGTGCATTTTGTATACACAAGGGAGCTGTTCTTCACATGCCTCAGTTATTTTTAATACTGGATGATCATTTTTCCTGACCTTTGGATAAGTCTGTCACTGAAAGTTTTGTATATTTATGTGTTCTTGAAACTAATCCCTACAGGGAACAATGACACAAACGTGCCATGTAGTTTATATGGAATGTCAATACTAACCGTTCGATCAAAGCTGACTTATTGTTAAATTGTGTCAGTCATGTAGGTCACTACCATCCTGCACCATACACAAACAACCACCCTAACAAACACATTCCAAAAATCTCTACTCAACCATAAGTAAGATTACTTTGTATTAACTTTCAGGCAGGACCAGAACAGTGCCAGGAATGCAGTGTTCACGCTAAGGAACTCTACTTCATTAATGAGGGGAATCTCCCCCTGTAAACAACAGACTATCCCACATGTAGATTATTTTATACCCCTTAGTGATAACTGGCTATTTTCAGATTTTCCATGATTCTTCCAAAAGAATGCAACGTTGAGGATAAACTACATATTTCCATATAAGGCATGAGCTGAGCCAGCTGCTATTTATGAGGAATACTATTTAAAGGGGATTCCTGCTATGGATAAATGCACAAATAGCAGCAGGTTTAAAGGACTACAAAAATAAACTGACTGTAAACTAATTTGGGCAGGGCCCTCTTCACCTACTGTTCCTGTATATCAAACATGCTTTGTTGAAATTGTTTGTATTTAAATATTGTACAGCACTGCGGAATATGTTGGCGCTATATAATTAACTAATTTGTATAACGTGCTGCTCAATCTGCTTGTGTCGCACAGGTATCAGATAAGGAATGACAGTCAACATAACTAAAAACAAAACTCTTGGAATTGTGATCCCTGGCATCATAAAATACAAACCTGTATTCCCAATGCTATAGTGCACTAGACCACAGTTAGATTAGAGTGTGCCGCCACCCCCCCACCCCCCCATTAAAAATTGATAAAGAATTAAAATTAAAAATAGAGTTACTAACACTTTTCTTTAGCGACAAGATTCTCTTCCTGCTGCTAATATTTCAGCAAGCATCGCTCTCTAGGTGATGGTCAAATCCGATGCTCCATGCATGCACAGCACATGCATCCAATCGAATGCTTTTCATAAAAAAACATTAAATTTATTGGTTTTCCTCTGAGCTGCATTTAGTCACATAACAGTTTCATTCAGCCTTCGTAGAAGAAGCTCCTCTAGTAGTCGTCAAGAAGACAGCCAGTGTGTTTAACCTAGAAAAGGTCTTTTACAGGAGCCAGGAAAACAAACTTGTTTTTCTGGCACTATTGCTTCCCCCTCCCCCGCAGATCCCCCTAAAAACACATTAGACACAGCAGGGTAATCCCTAAATCCTGGACAGTTCGGTGGTCCTTGAGGACTGGGATGAGAACCCCTGATCTATGGTCTTAATCAAAATGATTTTTGAATTACATGATACACAAAGTTAATAAAGTGTGGGTTGAAAACAGAGGTTATCAAGGGGAACATAACATTCCTTTAAACAAACTGGCTCCTAAGAGGAAGGAAAAAAAAAATGAACCTCTCCCCCTCATACCTTTAGCATTACATAAACCTCCTCCCTGCTACGTATCCTATTCTGTTCAGTAATGTGGAAAAAGCAGGACTTTTACTTAGGGATCTCAGCATACACAAAACACAATAGCATTCTGCCCCCACTGTTTCCTGTTCAATCACAATGCAGTCAATCTCAGTAATAAAACTGTTATCACTGACATCTTATTTCTAGCTTGCTGAGGCTTCTATTACCTGATGAACAATAGAGAAATATTGTGTGCTTCAGAGATAACATCAGCATATCCCCTTGATGTAGTTATTACTATGGTATTTAATAAATACCAGATCATTTCTTCATGAAGGAAATCCTTTATTTTATTTTAAAGCAGTGGCTGTTAAATGACATACAGCCACAATGACCTCAACACAACCTTTATCCTCTTGCAGATTAGATGCTCTAAAATGTTTACATTACCGATTCTTCACTAAGAACAATTTCAAGTACTTTGGCTGAAAGTAATACTCAACTACCAGTGCATTTGCACTTCTACTGTAAGGGGGAACACTGCACACAGTTACAAAACACTTTAATGAAGCTTTAAACTGCCTGGCAAAGGTAAGGAGAACATGCAAAACATAAGTACCATTAAATTGAGTAATAGTAACAACCCCTGGATGTTGGGCTAAGGTAACATCCCCAGGATGTACTTGAAAACCAGAGTAATCTGAATGTACCTTTCCTGTGTAAAGACATTGTTGTTGTTATTATTTTGATTTTGCAGTTAGATAATTTACCAGGTGTTCTCAGATTCAATCCTAAAATGACTGATAATAACTTCATGTACTGTACGCCAAATGACTCACATTGTATGCAAGGAGAAAGTTGCATTTTAAAAATCAGAGATGATACTTTGTAAATGAGGCACTCTAAGCACCAAAACTGGCGTTGTGTAGTGGTTATGGTGACAGAAGTCCCATGGTGCTGCTCTACTGTTAAAGCGGCTGTCACTTCCTGGGGTATTTGCAGATTTTACAAGGACCTCAGATGGTGACTGCTCTACTTGCAGTGTGATAGCCCAGGGGTGCATTGGATGGTAGTTTATACTTGCCTGTATCTGTCCCTTGCTGATGTCTACATTGGATCCCTCGAAACCCTTCATAGACCGTTCTCTTTTGTTATTCTTTTGTGAAGAGGGGGAGGGAGAGGGGACCATAGTTGCTTTAAGAATCAAACCTTTAAAAACAAAACAAAAAAAAAACAACACACTATGCATGTTTTCTTTTGTCCGATAACCGGTATTCTTCTCCCCTCCCTACCTTTTACCTGTGGCCATTACACTCCCTGGTGGATCAGTGGTTGCGTGTGCGCTGGCCGCCAGGTGGTACAGTGAGGGGTAGCAATGTTTTATTGATGTAAAGTTGGCAGGTCCGCTCCAAGGAGGAGGGGGTGAATTGGGTGGCTCGCCCTAAATGCAAGTCATATTGTAGAGGGGGTGGGCAGTGACAGCACACGCTCTCTTGCCAACACTTGCGAACCTAGTATGTAGCGCAGAGCATTGCTGCAGTAACTCTCTGCAACAATTTGATGAGCGAGAGTTAGAGAGAGGATCTGTCAGAAAGAGAAGAGAGCATGTGCTGGGTCCGAGCCGCACCATCCACAATGTGAAGGGCACCCAAGGCGGACTGTCCCCTCCCCCTGGTATCGGCAAATATCAGTATCATTTAAGCCGATACCGATACTTCCCAAAATGCCGAATATCAACCAAATTGATAATCTGCCAATCCCCAATATCTACTAAACTGATTAAAATCTATTTTAGTGGTGCTTTGTTAAAGGAACACTACATGTATTCCTGACCCTAGGGTTAAAACCACCATCTAGCTCCCCTAAATATAGTAAAATCTTACTTGTATTCAAGTCTGCAGCTGCTGCCTCTGCCCCTAAACTACCTGCTGTCTACTGACATCAACAGAAGTGTTGTTCTGAGCCAATCACAATGTTTTCTATAGGAAAACATGGGATCTGTCAATTAGGCAGATTAGGGGCAGAGCCAGCACAATACAAACACAGCCCTGGCCAATCAGCATCTCCTCATAGAGATGCATTGCATCAATATGAACAAATATTTCCACAGTAACTAAATATGAAACATGGGTTTCAGGGAAGGGTCAGAGCAAAGGATAGCATTCTTGGGTATGCAGACTCTGCTAGAAAGAAAGGAATCTCTGAAAGAATTAACCCCCACACCATCCCTGAGAGACTGCAGCTTTGTTTAGCAACTTCCTGTCCATTGGATACAGGTTGCTGGAGCCTTATCTTCCCAGGGACACTACTTCCGAAATAAAGGAATTGCTGAGCGAGCAAGGAAGAAAGAAACAAATACAGGAACAAGTGATCAAGAACTTTAGAAGTCAGTGGAAAATATATTTTGGCAATACACCAGCAGCCAAACTACACTGTAAATGCATATGAAACAACACCTGAAAATTCACCTACAAAAAAGGCATTCCTCAGTACCTTCCTCTATAGCCACTACACCATATCACATCCATCTTTCAGGAGTGACAGCTTATGCTCTCGGCCAATGAATTCTATACATACGTGGACAAAAATCAATACTTCTAATGTAAAAGAGGAGAGTTCGCTTTTGCTAGAACTGTGAAGAGCCAGACTGCACGCATGCACCTGGGGGACCCAGGTAAGTGTCAAGCCTGTCACACCCATTGAATCTTAAAAGTCTGATGGTGCCATGGGATTCCAGGCACCATAAAAACTATACGATGCTTAGACTGCCACTTTAATAATTGGACCGTACCCATTTTTTCCATAATTGTCAACTACAGAGATGATTTTACTTCCCATGAAGCAAACCATAACATACACAGTCACAATCACACAAAGACCTTAAAATTGGAAATCAATAATATTATGGAATCTGCCATTGGTCACCACTGATCTAGAAAGATATGAAGATGTTGCTCTCCTTAAGAAAATATCTAGACACTCAACTTACCTACAGTAATGTTAACTTGGGCATCCTCTCTCGATGCTGATCTCTATGGTAGTGTCTACCAAAATATTGCCTGCCATGCATTTGTCTATAAAGGACCATGACCGTCTTTTTTTAACCAAAACCAAAGATTCCAAGTTTCAGTTACTTTGTGCCATACCATGAAGTTACATCATATCAGACTGGACCCAACTACAGAGACAGAGAACTAAAGTTTCAATGACCACTGTCTAGTGTACTGCATACGCAAAATAAAGGCCACTAAATCCTCTCTCAAGATTTTAATCACCAGGTCTTTCAAAAAATGTAATTGTGACGAAGTGCCCTTCGCCACTTGTGCCTGGAGGGGACTACTGGCTAGCCTCCTGCCTTCCGACTATGGCCCCTGTGCTAATAGCTGTATTTTACCCTGCAATAAGGTTTATTTGGGTATTTCTGCCGGGTTGTTCGGGACTTCCAGTATGTGAGTAGTGCTACACCAGATAGCTATGCCATGGAGCCAATTCATGGAACGAAAGACTATGGAAAAGACTTTGGCTCCATGGCAATTGAATTGTATGTATGTGATCTGAGCGCCATTCAATAATAATGTGCACTCAGATCTAAGCTATCTGGGGATATGTTGCATGTATATGTTTTATGTAGTAATTGTAACATTGTGTAATTTTATGTCTTTTTGTAACCATGTGGTTAATGGAGTCTTGCCTCTGTCCTGGGAGATAATTTGATTACTTCCCAATTATCTCCAAGATAGAGAGGAGGGATTGTGATGTCACTGTGGGAGTGTTTTGTTTGTATTGTCTGTGATTGGTTATACTGTGTCCCACCCTGTGGGATGTCCCCTTGCATGGGGACTTGCATAAAAGCCAGTGTGTGGGTATTAAAACCATATCATCTTGTACCTTTCTTGAAGCATTGGCTCATGTTTGGGGGATTGGAGAAATACACTCCGGGGATTGCTATAATCACTATACTCCCCAGGGTATGATCACTAAGTTCTGCTAAGAACTTGTTCCTGTTCTCTGGGGAAAGAGAGGTTAACCCACTGGAAGCTGGATCCTGGCCTTGGGGTCCAGGGTGGGTGAAGACAGCGAGACCCCAGCGCAGCTGCATCGCTGGAAGTGGGGTCTACAGTGCTGATGGTGTCAGTTGGAGTGCTTGGAGTCCTCAGCAAGCACTAGGAGCATCGATTGGCGGAGGAACTCAGTCGGAGTGCCAGCGGTCCGTCACAGTAATCTTGAATCCTTTTTGAAATGATCTCAAGAACATACCATGGCACAGATTTTTTCTAATACCAGATCTAGACTCTGAAATTGCATTTTTTCAGTCTGAGCTCTTGCTTGTTTGGAATCTGCATGCCCCTCTGCTTAAAGTGCAACTAAAAGGGACACACCTGCCCTGGGTTAAAGCTGACCTCATTCAAATGTACTAGTTTATAGATTCACTGTGGTCAAAGTTCAAGCGTACTGGCTCCATTAACGATCAATGTAATTACAGACATTGGCGAAATGCATGCACAAAAATAAAAAAAAAATGTCAAAGGCCCAATATTTCAGTGAAAATTTGAACAACAACCTATCAAACCCAATATAAAAAATTATATACAAGCAAAAGGAAGGCACTATGCAATTACAGTGATAGTGAACAAAATTTTTCTTTAACAAGCAAGGCAATGTTCTTAATTATGAAGCTGCACCTTAAAGTGAGAAATAGCGCAAAACACCACTAAGTATACAATCCAGAAATAAGGTGCGTGCACCTTATTTCTGGATTGTAACCTATCAAACCCAAGAAACTTCTGGAAAATCATAAATAGCATACAAACCCCCACAATCCACTCCCAACTCTCCACTGTCAAAATGGACAACCAAACACCGCAACACCCCCTATATGTAGCAAATTCCTTTAATCCTTTCCCCTCGACTGTCCCACAGGGTGGGACATTTTAATTTTCTCATTCGGATCATATGTCTCACCTGGTGGCACATAGGAGTAGCCTACAAGTTTGACGATTGTACGGCTCACGTTATCGGATAAAGGCGACTTGAAAAAAAATAAACGCACCCACGAAGTGATTTCTATAAATAAATTTGGCAAATTTGGTGAACGACACTGAGATTTTATCCGAGTGGAAAGGGTTAATATTTTGTTGGATGTGCTACCACTCTGGTTGCCAAGATAACAAATGACACTCATTTTCAGAATGCAAATAAAGATCAGGCCCTGCCAAATCTTCAAAATCCTCATTAAGAGTAACTCAATTTTAGACCCCCTGTTAGGGTCGTTAATAAACATCTTAATAATTTAAAAAAGTAAAAAACTCGTGTGGACCAGATCAAATCCCAGCAACGTTGCTGAAGCTCAGTGCGCCAGCAATTGCTAAACCTGTTACTACCCTTATCAATGAATCCCTGGTGTCAGGATACATACCCAAACTTCGGAAGACTGCAAAAGTTGTACCTATCTATAAAAGTAGTGACAATACTTTGGTATCTATCACCCGATATCATTGCTCCCTGTAAATTCTTGGGAAAATGCGTCCACACGCAACTATGTGAATATTATCAACTATCAAATTATCTGACCCCTGATCAATCAGGCTTTTGTCTAAATCACTCAACTTCCACTGCCCTCTTAAAAGTTTGCCATGACATCCAAATTGGCATGGAACAAGGAGACTTAACTAGAGCTATTTTTCTTGACACAGAAGACCATGGCATTCTTTTGCAAAAAACTTAAAAACTCAGGCATTGGTGATCGTCCGCTAACCTGGTTTCGATCGTATGTTTCAGACCGATTGCAATATGTGGCCATTTCTGATAGCGCTCCCTCCCTTTTCCAGTCACGTGTGATGTTCCCCAAGGCTCCATAATCACTCCCCTGCTATTCACATTATTTATAAATGATCTGCAAATCCTCAACTGTACACATGGATGCAGACAACACTGTAATCTACGCTAGTAAACCCAAGCTACCGCAGCTTGAGGCTGTGCTCCAAAACCAATTCATACAGGTAGAAAGGTTGATAGCGGATAACAAACTGCCTAAACACTGACAAAACCGTTACAATGATCTTTGGAACTGTACCTAAATTACGTAAACTACAAAATCAACAATTGTGTATCAGAACAAATTCAAATAGCACATTGACAGCAGTCTGCGCTTTTAAATATCTAGGTATGTTGCTAAACGCCAATCTATCTTTTTGCCTTCACATTGAAAATATCTCTTCAAAACTTTACCCAAAACTAGATGCCCTGTACAGAAACAAATACTTCCTAAGCCCTACAGTAAGGAAACAGATGCTAATGCCGGTCATTGATTATGGAGATTAAGTGTATGCACCCGCACCGCAAACCCACCTTAATAAGTTATATAATTTGTTCTTCCGCTTTGTACTAGAATGTAATTACTTTACCCACCACTTTGACAGGTTAAAACAGCTAAACTGACTGCCGCTGGAATCCCTACACTCTCTTCATCTTTCCAGTCTTTCCAGTCTGCATTAGAGCATTTCTGGGAAGCTCCCACCCTACCTAAGTAGAAAGCCAGACCCTCCCCCCCCCATCCCCCAGCTGTTCCCACCTCCTATAACCTCCGATCCAGTACTAGCACGATATTTAGCATACCGCAATACAAATATAAAGTGGCTCGATCCTCCTTTTCCTACAGAGCACCGCAATTATGGAATAACCTCAGGGACACAGTCAAATCTTCATTCAATCTGAAATCTTTTAAGAGATCTATGGCAATATAGCTCAGCACAGAAAGCACCTGTCATGGTTGAATATATTTATAACATGAGATATATATATATATTATATATACATACATACATACATACACACACACACTGTATATCAGGGGTAGGCAACCTTTTAGCAGCACTGTGCCGATATAGGATTGTGATGTCCCGTAGCGTGCCGATCCTATTTTTTTAAATTGAGGTCTGTATGCTGCTTGTGTTATTTTTACTGTAATTGCTTTGTATCGTTGTATTTGTGCGTATATCAGCTATTATATTGTATACACATGAATGTGGGCTGTGTATGAGGGCTGCTTGTGGAATTGTGTGTGGATGGATATGTCACATTGTGTGTTTGGTAGTGTGTGGGCTGTTTGGGGTATTGCATGTGTGAGGCTTCATGTGGGATTGTGTGCATGTATGTGGATTGTTAGTGGTGTTGCGTTTGTGGGGATTATGTGTATGTTTGTGTGTGGGCTGTTCGTATTATTTGTATGAGGGGAGGCTTATTCTGCAGGTCTGTGTATATCTAGCAGTGTGGGTGGCTTCCCTGGGGACCAGGCTGGCCAGGTACAGGTCAAGGACAGGAGATGCAATAGTAGCTGCAGGCTGCTCTACTACAGTGTGGATTCCTATTCACAAGTGCTGGAAGGAACTGATCTGAGATCACTTCCTCTACGTTCTGCAATGTATAAATTGAGGATTTTCCTTCACCACCTTTTCGTATTAGCAGATATCTGAAGTTTCACTGAGACTCCTGATAGCCTTGAGTGCCGTGCATGGCACTAGTGCCGTAGGTTGCCTACCCCTGCTGTATATTGTATTTTTGTAGTATTGTATCCAATTGTAACAATGCAATGTTTTGTGGACAAAGACCCAGGACATACTTGAAAATGAGAGAAATCTCAATGTATCCATCCTGGTAAAATATTTTATAAATAAATAAATAAATAAATATAGTACCCAGCAGGACCCACACCATTGCTTTGGCCTCATGTAAGTTTCTTTTAAGTGAGGATAACCACTAGGCACTGTGTGCAAAAGATTAATGTATCAATTACCCCTTTTAGATCAAGAAATGCGGTTTAAAAATGCAAATAAGCCAGAAACCATGAATAAGCTACTAGCTACAAGCATGAAAAAGGCTTAACCCCTTTAGTGTTAGTCTCAATGCCCACATAATGACCAAAATGTAATTCAAGGGCCAGCATGGTGAGTGTCAAGTGCTTAGAAGGGCTCTTTCTCCTCCCTGCTGTTTTAACAGGGATTGGGTAAAAATATCTTCACCTTGACAGTGTGCAACAGCAGAACTGTTAGAGTGCAAATAGCACTGTAACTTAATAAGTTACTGAGCTATTTACACAAGATCTGCCAGCTTGAGATCTCCAGCTAATCTCCAGTAGTCTTTAGATATCAGTTATTTAAAGGAACACTATAGGGTCAGGAACACAAACAAGTATTACTGACCCTATAGTGTTAAACCCACCCCTCCCCCCCCTCAGAAAATGAAAAAAAAAACACCTCACCTTATTTCCAGCGATATGCGGGACCGCCGGCGCTGGCCCCGCCCCCTTGATGACACCACCAGAATTGTTGATTTTTAGCTAATCCTACAGGAAAGCATTGGATTGGCTAAAATCACCAAGAAGGCGGGATGGGGCAGGGCCAAGCGCCCTTTTTGCCAATCAGCACTTCTTCATAGAGATGCATTAAATCAATGCATCTTTATGAGGAAAATTGAGCATCCCCATGCAGAGCATGGAGACGCTGAACGGCAGTGCTGCCTACTATGCCGCACTGAGCCAGGTAGCACCTCCAGTGGCCATCTGAGGAGTGGCCACTTGGAGGTGTCCCCAGGGGCAATGTAAACGCTATCTTTTCTCTGAAAAGGCAGTGCTTTCATGAAAATGCCTAAAGGCAAAGTTTATACTCACCAGAACAATTACATTAAGCTTTAGTTGTTCTAGTGACTATAGTGTCCCTTTAACAGTTAAGGGATCGTCGATTAATAAATGTGATGTTGAATACTTTTTTCTCTTTTTCTAGGTCAACAATAAATTAATATGCACTACTAATTACCCAATTCATTATCTTTTGTGTGTGTGTGGTAGCAATATGTTTTTTGTGTGATTATGCTTAAGTTTTGGAAACTTGGGGGACTACTTCTTTATACCAGCACCCAAAGCTCATGAGACCACCCACAGGTGCCCTTTCTGCTCTCCAAAGCATAGTTACCACAGTGCATGACTAGGAAGTATGGCATGAAGGCCAGTGTGTTAGATTTGCACTGCTTTAGACAGGAGGGAAGAAGAATTAGAATAACACCCATGAAGATGAGGCGGCGTTGGATCGGAGCCAAGTTGGGTATTTATCAAAAACATTACATTGGATACATGATGTATTCAATGTATTAGGGGACAATTTAGGTAATAATATATAGATCTTCCTCAGACCCAGCCCAATAACCACGGAAAATACTAGTGGGGTATTATTAAAGCAACACGGTCATCCTTCCCAACTGAAAAATGAGTATTTCATAAAGATAGCATCTATATGAAATACTCATAACAATGTTGGAATTTCACTGAAATTCCAACCCAGTCTAGAGATATACAGAAGTAGTATGGACTACTTTGTCTCTGCATTTCTCCTCCGAATTACTTTTTTTGACACAATCTTCAATCCCTGCAGCTGTGATCAGTGACAACTGCAGGGAATTGGCTGTGTCTATTGAGGATCCTGCGGTCTCGGGATCTAAAGTGCTAGATTCAACCTATTACAAGCAGCTAAAAAGTTTTTATCATCAATCATGTTTATACAAACAAATAAACCGAGGGTGAAGCACAATCAATTGCTTTCCAATTAAAAAAGGTATCATTTTACAGTGAGTTAGTGTGTTGACATTTCTTTTCTTTTTAATGCTTTATTTTGGTTCACACAGCATTGAAAATGTACATCATATCTCGATAAAGACAGTATCTGCACTTGGAAATACCCTGTTGGGCCACATATCATCAACGTGCAAGGAGCATGCAGTGTGAGTGGTTTGTACAAAGGATAGGCTGGTATAACAAAGGTTTTTACAGAAATAAAAAGGAAAAAGGAAGTAAGTTAGAAGGTAAATCCAAAGTAACACGGTGAGCTCGGCCAGTCCGCTATTGTGATCTCATGAGTAGTCAGCTGGATAGGTGTCACTGGGTCTTCCTGACGTATTTTATTAAAATAAGGTTGTGTGTGGTTGTAACAGAGGTGGTAGAATGGTATACTAATTGGGAACGGCTTTCTGCAAGTTAGTTGCTAAGTAAGTACGCCATGAGCGTTTCTGGGGGTGGTGACTTAATCTAGGTTTGGTAAGGTTGTCCGGCCCCTCTCCAGTGCAGTATCTCAGGCTGCGTAGGTCATGTGTGGGTTCAGTGTTACCACGTTCTCTGCCTAGGCGTCTTAAGAACCCACCTTGGATAGCGTGGGAAGTATTGTTTAGGTGGCGGACATCGGTGGCCGGGTTATCCCGGTGTGGTGATTTACTGGCCCGGTATGGGTGTAACAGAAAGAGACTTTAAGTTATGCAGGAGTCTGTGGTCCCATTGCCAGCCAGGTTGGCTAGGTTTACTGGGGTTGTCTCATGGTGGTGTCATCGTCTAGCTGCCTCTGGGACCCCCCCTGCTGGCTAGAGTAAAATGTTTAGTAAGCAGACAGGTATGGTTTATTTAATAAGTTAAGGTCTGCGCCAATAGAGTGACATGCTGATTATAACTAGTTTTCCGCAGTTTGGGTAGCGGGTGGGGTAGTGAGCCTGTCTGGGCAGCGGCGTGGTGACATTTATTTTCATTGTAACAACGTCACAGTCCTTAGACAGTGCTATGCACGTGTCACTTTCCTCCTCAGCTCATACAGCAAGTAAAGGTTATATATTTTCAGAAGTGACAGCAGCAGAGACAGAGATAACAGCACTGCACAGAAACTGAAAGTGCTCAGATTACACAGGGTCCAGAAGCACCCGAACAGTGAGGCCTGCCTGAAAGCTGTGATTTTCCTGTATGAACCTAAAGTAGTAGCAATTGGGTGGATAACAGAATCTAAACCAAGATGGCTGCTCAGCCAAATTAAAAAAAAATGTGAACTTTTCTTTAAGAAAAAAAAAAAAAAGCCAAACATTTAATAAATTAATAAAATACACTAATCTTCATCAAATGCAATGAACTAAAACAAGAAGTGAGAATTTGATAACCTTTAACAAAGTGGAGATAACACACTGCATTAATATTTGTATGAACTTTTACTTTGTGCGTAAGTGAAAATGAACAGTGAACAAATTATGCAAATTGGTATTCTCAATGTACTGTAAAAGGCAAAGTGTACACATGATGTTGGTGGGCAGCACACTCCATTTAATGGTAAACCCTTTTCTCCACAAGAATTGATTTAAAAGCTTTCAAGTTTGAGCACAACAACTTCATTGAAATGGAGGTCCCCGGCTTATCATTCTGAGTTAAACTGTTCTCGAATGGTTTACCCCCAAAGACTGTGTTCCATCACTGGATCCCTCTGCCCTTCCATGTCCTCAAAATCAAATAAACAGAAGGATCTTTGCAGCATCGGGTAGTGGCATCGCTGATTGGCTTAGAGCGGTCAGTTGACGTCTCAGACAACCATTAACTACCCAGTCATAAAACGGTCTTGGAAGGGAATGTACTTTTCTCAAGCCAGTTTTATGAATTGAGAGTCACTATTTGGATGAGAGTCAGCTGATCACTCTCAGCCAATCAGCGGCACTGTTCGTGGATGCTGCAACACATACTTTGGGGTAAACCATTTGAGAACAGTTTAACCCCTAAAGATGGACCAGCACCAGGGACCGCCAGCAAATAAAACAACTTTATTTGTATGAAGTAGTTGTGGCGCCCAGGATGTTCCTTTAATATCCATAGAAGCAGGCTGTAATTTAATGGACACTGACCTCTGCTAATTCTCTGCTTTTCACCAGAAAGGATTCCAGGGGTGTCAATGATGCTAATGCTCTCCAGCACAGGATTATTCAGTTGTGCACACATGAACCTGGCCAACATGGAAAAAGAAATTATATTATCTCCAAACCAATTAATCTGAAACAAATTAAACTAGAAAAACTTTAGCACAACACACATAAAGCAATAATAAGCACTAATGGAAGAAGTTAGAAGTAGAGATGGTGAATGGGCACTCCTGGCACCATAACCATTACAGAAAACTGTAGTGGTTATGGTGCTCTGAGTGTTCTGTCAATAACAGCTGCAATGTCTGTATGAGTAAAGGCACATTTAGAGATATATGAATAGGAAATATAGAATATGCAAATATGTAGTGAGACAGAATAGGATTACAGTTTTTCCTCAAATTGTACATCACAAAAGCTTTGCTCAGAAAATGACAGCTGATTATTCTAGTAGTAACCAGGACATTTTCTGAGATGCACTTCCCCTTTTGCCTACGATAGTGACAGCTGCGCAACCACCAACTTTTACACCTGTAATTGTATTTTTTAACAACATATCAAGATGCCAACGATGTATATTCTTGTCAGTAGCCATCTTTGAAAAAAACCACTTGCGTGATGTGAACAAAATAAAATACCATGTGATCTGTAAAGTAAGTAAACCACAATTATTATCTCAATTGTAGAAAAATAATTAGTCACCAATACAACTTTAGCTTAATGGAGCAGTTTTGGTGTATAGATCATGACCCTGCAAGTCTCACTGCTCAATTTTTTCAGCCATTTAGGAGTTAAATCACTTTGTTTATGCAAAAACAATGTGATTTAACCCCTTAAGGACACAGCTTCAGAAGCTTGTCTTACGCTTAATGACAAGCAATTTTTGCATTTTCTTGCTGTATGCGTTCAACTGCAATTTGCATCTCTCTCGTTTATTGCACCGACACATATTCTATACTGTTTTTTAAAGGACAGAAAGGGATTTAATTTGATGTAACACATATACATATATATATATATACACATATATATATACACATATATATATATATATACACACATTTATATATACATATATAAAAATGTTGTGGTTTTTGTACAGTTTCTGCAATAATAATGTGTGCCTAATTAGTGTAGGTTAAAAAAGGAATTAAAAATAAATTCATTTAGATGTTCTGATTTACAGAATATATAATGTGTCTGGGATTTTAAGTTTTTTGTTGGTAGTTACAGGTCACAAAGCGATTTTAGTAGAGCGATTTTAGAATTTGGTATGTTTGTCTTGTAAGCTTAAAAGCCATAAAAGAAAACAAAATTGCCACACAAAAGTATATATTTATATAAAGTAGACATCACAGGCTATTGTCCTAAGGTTGTTTTGACACGTTCTACGTAGCCATTTCGCCACCAATATCTGCTAAATATTGGAGTAAAATTTAGTTTTTGGGGGGTTTTGGCACACAAACTTATAACAAAGAACTTCTAATGTGTATTTTGTAAAGTTGGTGTGTGCTATTCCTGTACAAAGTTTTATTTTGTGTTCAGTTACTTCTGCTGAGTACAACGATACCCCCATTGTATGTCTTTGGCACTATTTTGTGAAGCTACAGTGCCATATAGGAGATCTGTCCGTTTCAACATTTACAGTAGAATTTTGAGAGGCGGATTTAATAAGCCTATGCTTCAATTTGGGGTATTATAACAGTTTGACTGTTCAAAAAAACAAACAAACACATATTGTGCCTTAACCCCTTAAGGACCGAGGACGGTTCAGGACCGTCATCGGCATTTTTGCCTTGAGGACCGATGACGGTCCTGAACCGTCCAAACGGTCAGAGCTACTTACCTGATCGCCGTCGTTCCCCCGGCGGCGATCAGCGTGGCTCCGGTTGTGGGGAGACTGCCTGCAGCCCAGACAGTCTCCCCACGGCAGATTAGGACCCCTGTGGCCATGTGATCACTTAACACAGCGATCACATGGTCACAATAGGTGTCCATGTGTCTGCCTGCAGGGGGACTGCCTGTGCTGACAGGCAGTCTCCCTGCTAGTGTAAAATCAATTAAAAAAATAAAGTTAGTGTTAATAAAAAAAATAAAAATAATTATATATATGTGTATATATGATATATAGACATATATTATATCTATATAATATGTCTATATATCATATATATAATGCCATACTAAGTGTATTTTTATATTAATATGTACTTATATTAATATAAAAATACACTTATAATTAAATTACACACGTATATATATATATATAATATATATAATAACTATATATATTGTATATATTTTATTATAAAATATAAATAAGTAATTTAAATTAAATATTTTTTTTTAAATAATAAAAAATTTCAAAAAAATTATATAGCTATATGAAATTTTATTCTAACTATTTTAAAATTAATATATATATATATATATATATATATATATATATATATATATATTTATATCAAAATACACTTAGAATGAATTTGTATATATATCTATGTATATAAAAATAAATAAAAATAATAAGAAATATACATACGTCCATATACAAAATTACATAAATAATTATATAAATATACACGTAGACTTCAAATATATAAATATGCATGTATATTTAAATTCTACGTGCGTATTTATGTAATATTTTTACATAATTCAGTAATTTTATTGATTGCAATTTGAGGGACCTGCCTGCCAACCCAGGCCGAAATTCCAGAGAATTTAATTTGCTAGCAATGTATTTTACCCTGTAACGTTCTATGACACCCTAAAACCTGTACATGGGGGGTACTGTTTTACTCGGGAGACTTCGCTGAACACAAATATTAGTGATTCAAAACAGTAAAACATATCACAGTGATGATATTGTCAGTGAAAGTTACTTTTTTTGCATTTTTTCACACACAAACAGCACTTTTACTGATGATATAATTGTTGTGATACGTTTTCCAGTTTTTAAACACTAATATTTGTGTTCAGCGATGTCTCCCGAGTAAAACAGTACCCCCCATTTACAGGTTTTATAGCATTTTTGAAAGTTACAAGGTCAAATATATGGGTCAAATATTTTTACATTGAAAATGGCCAGGTTGGTTACGTTGCCTTTGAGAGCGTATGGTAGCCCAGGAATGAGAATTACCCCATGATGGCATACCATTTGCAAAAGAAGACAACCCAAGGTATTGCAAATGGGGTATGTCAAGTCTTTTTTAGTAACCACTTGGTCACAAACACTGGCCAAAATTAGCGTTCAATTTAGTTTTTTTTACTTTTTTCACACACAAACAAATATGAATGCTTACTTTGGCCAGTGTTTTCGACTAAGTGGCTACTAAAAAGACTGGACATACCCCATATTGAATACCCTGGGTTGTCTACTTTAAAAAAAATATGTACATGTGGGGTGTTATTCAGAGATTTATGACAGATAATAGTGTTACAATGTCACTATTAATAAATTTTAAAAATGTATGTTTTGAAACCGCAATATCCTACTTGTACCTATAGCCCTATAACATGCAAAAAAAAGCAAAAAAGCACGTAAACACTAGGTATTTTTAAACTCAGGACAAAATTTTGAATCTATTTAGCAGTTTTTTTCATTCGCTTTTGTAGATGAGTAAAAGATTTTCAAGTAAAAGTCAAAAAACATGTATTTTTTTCAATTTTTCATCAGATTTTTGTATTTTTTTTTAAATTAAAATACATGAGATTATATAAATAATGGTATGTAAAGAAAGCCCCTTTTGTCCTGAAAAAACAATATATAATTTGTATGGGAACAGTAAATGAGAAAGCAGAAAATTACAGCCAAACACAAACACCACAAAAGTGTAAAAATATGCCTGGTCGCAAATGTACAACATCGCAAAAACAGTCCAGTCCTTAAGGGGTTAACATGCCCCCATTTTTTCACCACAAGGTATGTGGTAAAAAATAATTTGGGGCATTTTTTCCCCATTCGGATTACATTTTTGCTGGGCATTTTGTACATTTCATATGTGCCACTAAGCTCAAACCCCCCAAATTATGCTCAGCTAAGTCTTCTGAGTAAAACAATATGCCCAATGTATGACCTAGACACTATTTTGTGAAGCTACACTGCTGTAAAAGAGACGTGACAAGTTAAGGTTTTTAAGTGTGAATTTTCAAGGGTTTTGATGCGTCCGTGTCCCAATTTGGAGCACTTGAGTAGGCTACATATTACAACTACACCATAAAGGCATACCATTTCTTAAAGAACACATCCCAGGGTAATTCAAAAGGCATATTTTGAACCTTAGCGTGGGATAATTTTTCCGCTAGCTTGTACCAAGTGTAGTGGTAATGAGCATTTTTTTAATGTATTTTTTACTTTGTAAAATCCGTTTTTAAACTTTTTTTTACTTATTAAATGTTTTACACTTTCCTAACTTTTTTTACACTTAATTTTTTTCTAAACTTTTCTTTTACCGTTAACCCCTAACTAGCAGTAAGCAGCACTAACAGTAAATTCCCCCCTTTCCCATAACTCCCACCCACTCCAGATAGCAAAATATATAATATTTAAATTAATTAAATTGTACCCCTGATGGGTAAAAAATAAATAAAAGTTAATCCTCAGGGGTTAAAAGAAATTAGAATACAGTAGAATTCTGTGATCTGTATTTTGATCACTGTAGGCAGTGATCGACTGGCAGGGAATGGGGTTCATTTTTATTTAGACTGGGTAAAGGGTTTTTTTGTTTTTGTTTTTTACTTAAATGTTACTAAAATACTTTTTTAAAACTTTTTTTAACCTTTTTAAAGCTTATTTTAAAACTTTTTTTAACGTTAACCCCTAGTTAGCCTAACACCAAATTCCCCAATTCCCCACTAACTTCCACCCATCCCAGCTAGCTAAATATATACTTTTTAAATATTTAAATTAATTAATGAAATAAATTTAACCCCTGAGGGTTAAAAAAAATAATTATTGACCCTCAGGGGTTAAAAAAATAAAAATTAAAAATAAAAATAAAAAAATCAGATGACATTAAAATGTATACCCAGCCAATTGATCACTGTAGTCAGTGATCAATTGGCAGGGAAGGGGTTAATTTTATTAAAGCAGGGGAAAGGGGGGTGGGATTTAACTATTTTTTAACACAGGGAGAAGAGGATCACAGCTCTGATCCGTCTCCCTGCACTTCACACAGAACCCGGAAGCGCAGGGAGGCGGATGATAAGTATCTGCAGCACATGTGCCCGCTCTGACAGCCTGTCTGGGGTTAACTTTAGTAAATGGGAAATTTTACGTCAACGGTCCTTAACTGAAGGACATGGTTGACGGGAAATTTCTGTCTGCGGTCGGGAAGGGGTTAACTCCTAAATGGCAGAGAATTGAGCAGTGAAACTTTAGATCTATAAACCAGAACTGCTTCTCTAGGTTAAAGGACCACTATAGTGCCAGGAAAACAAACTCATTTTCCAGGCACTATAGGGTCTCTAGGTGTCCCACACCTTCAGGGTCCACTCCCACTTGGCTAAAAGGGTTAAACACTTACCTTTCTCCAGAGCCGGGCTCCCACCTCCCTCCTTTCTCAATGCTTTCCTATGGACGTCCAGTGTCTTCTCACTGTGATTTTCACAGTGAGAAGCGCGGAAGTGCCTCTAGTGGCTGTCAGTGAGACAGCCACTAGAGGCTGGATTAACCCTAGTGTAAACATAGTTTCTCTGAAACTGCTATGTTTACAGCTGCAGGGTTAACACTAGATGGACCTGGCACCCACACCACTTAATTGTGGACAATTTCCATTTAATGTTATTATTGGAACACTCTAGGTAGGTGTCAAAATAACATACACAGGAATGCCAGGGTCCAAGATTTCCCAGCAGAACAATGCCCAGAGCATAACATTGCCTCTGCTGGCCTGCCTTTTTCCCAAAGTGAATTCTGCTGCCATCTCTTACTCGGGTAAACGAAGCACACTTATCTGGCCATCATCCTGTTCGAAAACAAAACGTGACTCAGACCAGACAACCTCCTTCCATTACTATATGATCCAGTTCTGATGCTCTAATTCCCATTCCCAACTAATAGAGCTTTCGGTGGTGGACATGGATCATCATGGGCACTGACATATCTCCAGATACGCAGCAAACCGTAATGCACTATTTGTTCTGACATTTCTTTTTTTTTTCTGGACAATCTTTATTTCTGACATTTCTATCATGGCCAGCAATACTTTTTTGAGCAATTTGAGCCACAGTAGCTTTTCAGTGTGATCAGATCTGATGGCTAGCCTTTGCTCCTCATGTACATCAATAAGCATGGAGCCATGACCTTGATACCAGTTCACCGGCACCACTTTTGGTAGATGCTAAACATCGCATACTGGGAATACACAGCAAGACTTGCCGTTTTGCAGATGCTCTGATCCAGTCATCTAATTATCACTATTTGGCCCTTCTCAAAGTCACACAGATCTTTTTGCTTGCTCATGTTTCTGCTTCCAACACATGAAATTCAACAACGGACTGTTCACTTGCTGCATTATATATATCACATCCCTTGACAGATGCCATTGTAACTATATAATCTATGTTATTCACGTCATCTGTCAGTGGTACCCAGCGTAAAAACTCTCTGCATTACATTAATGGAAGCACAGCAGACTGCCATAAAGAGATGTGCTAAAATACAGAATTGGCTCTGATCCCCAAAAGTGATTCATGCATACCTCTCAAGGGTGGGAAAATGTAATAGAAAAAAAAATAAAAATAAATCTGGGAAAAAGGAAAGTGTAGCTCATCGTTTGCTTTGCCCTAGCCAAAACTCAGATTATCAGTAACTCCTCACTTGACTTTATTTAAGGTATTCAGATTAGGGATCAACCGATATTTTTAGAACCGATACCGATAATCTGAACTTTCAGGCTGATAGCCTGCCGATATTCTGTACATTTACCGTATATATATATATCAAATTCTCACTGCATCCACTATACACACACACATATATATATATATATTCTTGAAAACATAAAAAAAAAAAACTGACTGGCATGTATATTTTGTGCATTTACCACTTAATAAAAAAGAATATATATATATATGTGTGTGTGTATAGTGGATGCAGTGAGAATTTGATTAGTAAATGCAGTGTGTGTTTGTGTAGTGGATGCAGTGTGTTTGTGTGTAAATATGTGCGGTAGGAACTCACCCACCCATAGTGATCCTTACCACCCCCACACCCCTGTTCCATAGTGCCGTAGACACACCGGCCCACCTCATTATCAGCAGACACTGATACTTGCAAAAAATAAATAAATAAAAAAATATCGGAATATTGGCAAAACCGATAAACGGTCGATCCCTAATTCAGATAAAAGATTACCCATCTTTTTGGACCCTTAAGAGCCTTTTGAAAACTCAATTCTCTTTACACATACGGGGTTTATAAAATGTCTTAACAAATGCGAGTTCTACCACCCTGTGAAACAATGTTGTCACCAAGGAATTCCAATCATGTTCTGTTGAGACAAAACTGGACACCTGGACTTTTAGCACTTGTCCATTCAACAGGTGTGCAAACTTTTATGCCTCTTCAAGCTATATCTAGTTGAGAGCAGCTGTGTTATCAATTTATTGAATATCACAGTTGAATCCAAATGCTTTATACAGACACTCTTAGTGAACTCTATTCATTAAGGAAGGATGAATAATGCAGAAAGAAAACCTTCTCTTCAGCAATATCTGAAGAAGGTGCAGGACTTCAGGTGCCCATAATATGTGAAACTGTTCCAAAATGGTTTGACTAATTATCATGCCCAAGGGCATAATCACAGCAGCAAGCTATGGAGGTTATAATGTTGTGTGAATCCCTAGATTAAACAAAATGAATAAAAAAGGAGAGAGAGTGTGTTTACCCCTGCCCCCATCATTAACACTAAATGGGACACTGCAGGCACTGTAGCTGCTTTTCTAACCAAAATTGTTCTAGTATGTGTATTTATCACTCCAATCCCCTCTGTACTGTTTGGCCTAATAATTATGCATGAGCAGCAATGAACGGCTGTGATGGTCTGAGAGTGCCATTGACCGCTTTAATCTATCAGATTGCCCATTGCTGGGATTAATTAGTATGGTTATAAAAAAGCGTGGAATGTATTCCCCTGCCTTAGGATACCTCCAGTAGGGTGCTGGACTGTGGGTAGCCAGGGACGCATTTTTAAACTTCTTGAAAATGGTTTAACACCAAATAGGGAGACAGTGTTATAGCCTATAGTGTCCCTTTAACAGGAGACAAAGCAAAACCCATTGGAGTAGAAGTGAGCCCAGAAAAATGGTTATGTACATCTCTTATTTACGCACGGAGGAAAATGACTTGCATTTATAAAGAAACATTTACCCAAAAGAATGGGGGCAGGTTTAAAATGCTGAGAGAGCCCTATTTTTGTCAAAATTATCTTGGTGGGGAAGCATAAACGAGAAGCATAATTTGCCCTCCAATATAAGCAAATAAATATTTTTTTTCATAAAAAATACATTCCTTTAATCCCTTAAGGACCAAACATCTGGAATAAAAGGGAATCATGACATGTCACACATGTCATGTGTCCTTAAGGGGTTAAATTAGTCTGACTGACCAGTGGAGGGTTGATTAGAGGAAGTATGCTGATAAGACTAGAAACAAACTGGTATAAACCAGTATAAATATTTAGTGATATGATCCAAGCAAGACAAAAATACACAAATAAAAAACAAAAAACATGACCTTCATGAAGTTCCTTTTTTTAGAAGGCCTATCACTATTTTAGAGGCAGCTCCTTTCAATAACAAGACATTACACTCACTCAGTCTGTACTGGGTGGTGTGACTTTTAAATAGGAAGAAAGAAAGAAAATCATGTTTGCCATGACATATGTACTCGAGTTATAATTTTTTATTTCGAGTTCAATTGCTGGGCCTGACCACAAATATATTCTGAGCTCCTCACCAGGCATCCTCTAATCTATTTAGGCATATTTTACTCTCAGGTCATCTTCAGAGGACATCAGGTGGAACATAAGGTATATTAATATGTTAGCATGGGACCAGACACTATAACTGGACATGGGCTACAATTTTATTTAAAATATCTGTTCTCAGTGTCCATCTATTTTCCATCCCTCCACTCGGTGCCCAAAATGTTTATAAAATAAAGAAAGAAATAAAACATAATAGCATTTTTGTTATTGCTTCACATATTGGAATAGGAAATTTTAGTAGTTGTAAAAAAAAAAAAAAAAAAAAATTTTTAAAAAAATATTTATTTTATTTTCTTATGTGGGCCTGACCATCTTTACAAATCAATGAAATTCCAACACAGTCAAAAAATATAAAACTAAAGTATGGGCTATTTCGTCCTATGAATTTTTTCTAGTCTCAACAAAACTTGACAAAAAGTCAGAGCTACAGCTGCACCTGCAGGTTCCTCCATAGACTTTGTTGTACCCTTGTACATGCACATGATTACAGCACTGCCATGGATTTCTCTGGCAAATGAAAATTATCTAACATATGATGACAGCGGCTGCAAGTGAGATTCGGACATGTAAAACTTGCCTTTCTCTGCAGCCAAAGCACTGCAGACAGCAAAGCCACCATCGGTGGTCTTTGCAACCGCAGTAACATACTGAAGTATCTCTCAGTGCACTGCTTAAAGGGTAACATGTTCAGCATCATTACACACAGGATGATGATGCTGAATGCCACTGGACTGGTGGAGTGTGGTGCTTGACATGTATGCGCCAAAGTCTGCTATACTTCTCTATGAGCACCATCTGACTGGAACAGAGATCAGAATGGATCTTTTTTAATGAGAGCCACTAGAGGCTGGATTAACCGTAAAGTAAACATAGCAGTTTCTCTGAAACTGCTATGTTTACAGCAGGCAGGGTTAATCCTAGATGGACCTGGCACCCAGACCACTTCATTAAGCTGAAGTGGTCTGGATGCCTACAGAGGTCCTTTAGGTCTGAATCGCATCTGTCAGGTGCTGCTCTCCACCTCAAGTATGAATACTGGAGAGGTTCTTGCTTAGAATCCACCAGCTCTCCTGGAGTCAGGGAGCAGCACCCGGCAGACGCCAGATAAGAACAATGAGAGAAGCCAGGGCACTACTTGCTCCATAACCACTAGAGCTCGCTGTTGTGGTTATGGTGCATAACTGTGCTTTCTTTACAGTGTTGGTAATCACAAATGTTAGATATGCCAGCATTGATACTTGTGTTGTGTAATAACAGAGACACACAGAAAAATGTATGGCATTCAGAAACACAATATTTCCAGTTGACTTTAAAAATGTACCAAGCTGTCTCTGGCATTCCTCGAGTACATACTGAAAAATACAAAATGTATTACAAAATGTGACCTGGACTGGGTGGGGTCATGACCTATATGTTAGGATTAAACTAATGTTATAGTGTCAATTTGATATATACATTATAGGACAGAACTGTTGTAAAATAGCCAATACTTGGGAGTGTGCATCATTTATAAAGATCCCTAATTAAAAGAGCAAACTGGTGAGCATAAGTATGAAGGAATCCGTTTTGTTAAAAGTAGCTCTGTCACCTTCTGAGGTTTTTACATATTTTGCAAAGACTCCCTCGTGACATTGCAGCTTGGTGTACAGTGGACAATTGGTGCAGTGCAGGTGGTATACGCAAACTTTATTCGGTCTACCGCGTGTGCCAACACCTTTCTTCAGCTTCTGGCACTTTAACCACCAGGAGCGTGTGTGAGTACAATACAAAAGGTCTATGGAGTATCCCGCGAGACCACTGAAGTTTGTGTGTGTGTGAGTATTGCTTTAAATTAACTATTCTAGTCCGATACCAGTTTAGCAAACCACCAAGAACACAGACACAATCTAGAAGAAAACACACACACTTAATCTAACATCCTCATTGCAATCCATAAGAGGTTCATGCACACTCATGGGTAACATTTAAAGGACCACTATAGGCACCCAGACCACTTTAGCTCAATGAAGTGGTTTGGATGCTAAATCCCTCTAAGCCCTAGAGTTAACCCTGCCTGCTGTAAACATAGCAGTTTCAGAGAAACTGCTATGTTTACTAAAGGGTTTATCCAGTCTCTAGTGGCTGTCTCATTGACAGCCACTAGAGGAGCTTCCGTGCTTCTCACTGTGATTTTCACAGTGAGAAGACGCTTGCGTCCATAGGAGAGAATTGAGAATGCTTTCCTATGGACATACTGAATTGCCGCGCATGCGCATTGAGCCGATGACGGCCAAAGGAGGAGGAGAGTCCCCAGCGCCGAGGGAGCCCGGCGCTGGAGAAAGGTAAGTGATTTAACCCATCCCTCCAACTTCAGCCCGGCGGGAGGGGGGACATGAGGGTAGGGGCACCCTCAGGGCACTATAGTGCAAGGAAAACAAGTGTGTTTCCCTGGCACTATAGTGGTCCTTTAACACTCCACACTGATGGACAGCATAACAGTGATGCTTGTAGTGTTTAAGTGATTTCCCTGTTGGTGCACAAGAATGTTAATCAATACAGTTGTTTTGGGGAATAATAATAATGTATAAACAGCACTCTTATGTGTGGACTTTGATTTTTTTTTTTTTTTCCCAAAGCCTCTCAAAGGCAAAATGTCCATTCAGGTCCAATTTCAGTTGTTACTGCTGTGCATAGTGAGAGAACAATATTGTTCACATTCATTAGCAAACTCATTCATACCTATATCCTGGAATTTTCTGATTGTGCTAGGGTTTCAGTACTATTCCAATAAAGCATTTTATGAATTTTGCAGTAAAGATGACATGAACAATGTATGAAAAACTCAAAACATGGCAGAGCTGATATGATGTTCTTTTTCTGCCCATCAGTTTATGGAAAAGACATGTACCCAGGAAACCATGGTAAGTAAACCCCATGTGCTTGTGCTACTCATGATGCTCAGCCAACCATTAAAAAAGTTGTTGAAATGTAAAAAAAAAAACTTTTATCACAAATGGCCAAGAGAGGGTGTAGGCAACATTCTGCACTCCAGATGTTTTGAACTACACTTCCCATGATGCTTTGCCAGCATTATTACTGTAAGAGCATTATTGGAGATGTAGTCTGCCTATTTGTTGTACAACTACAATTCCCAGAGTGCTCTGCCCCCTGTGAGGCTGGCATTACTGGGAGTTGTAGCTGTGTGCAGGAATGTCACGCTGGTTTACCTGTTTAGGAAGGCATTGCCGAAGGCGCTGAGTTTCCTGAATGGTTTCTTGGGATCCACGACCAGTGCGTTCCCCGGCAGGATGCCCTCCACCGGGCCGTGCATGACGGCGATGAAGGAGTCGGTGGTGGGCTCGGGCCCGATCCTCATGCCGGGGAAGTCCTGCTCCATGAGATGGCGGATGAAGGTGGTCTTGCCGGTGCTGTACTGTCCGACCAGCAGCACCATGGGCTTGTTGTGGAAGTCGGCCTCCTCCAGGGCCGGTGAGTGGAACTCGTGGAAGCGGTAGGTCTCCTCCAGCGGGAGCAGTTTCTGGGTGTACAGTTTGCGGAGACCCTCGGACACGGTGTGGAAGAGCTCGGGGTCTTTCTTCCTCCGGGTATCGCTGCTCACCCAGCTGAACATGGCGGCGGCGGGTTACTCTGAGGGGGGCCCCGGGGACGTCACCAGTTCTAACGGGCTGCGGGACTGGGGCACGCGGCGTTCGCTGTAACGGACCCGGCTCGAGCTCCCACTGGCTGGGCTGGGCGTGGCGCGCTGAGCTGGCTGGCAGTCCGGGAGCGCGCGTGGCGAGTGCGCGCGGACGGTACCTCAGCGGTACCTCCTGTCTGTCTGCAGGGATAGCTCGGCGCCTTTACGTCATGTTCCGACTTTCTTGTGACGGTCCCAAAACGAGTCCTTTACTCTAATAGTAGTCACTAGCTAATAGGACCCCGCTGTGCAGGATCTGGGCTGTAGTTGCTGTGATTAGAGCTCTAGGAGGGTCTGTGCTGTAGTTGCTGTGATTAGAGCTCTAGGAGGGTCTGGGCTGTAGTTGCAGTGATTAGAGCTCTAGGAGGGTCTGGGCTGTAGTTGCTGTGATTAGAGCTCTAGGAGGGTCTGGGCTGTAGTTGCAGTGATTAGAGCTCTAGGAGGGTCTGGGCTGTAGTTACTGTGATTATAGCTCTAGGAGGGTCTGGGCTGTAGTTACTGTGATTATAGCTCTAGGAGGGTCTGGGCTGTAGTTGCTGTGATTAGAGCTCTAGGAGGGTCTGTGCTGTAGTTGCTGTGATTAGAGCTCTAGGAGGGTCTGGGCTGTAGTTGCAGTGATTAGAGCTCTAGGAGGGTCTGGGCTGTAGTTGCTGTGATTAGAGCTCTAGGAGGGTCTGGGCTGTAGTTGCTGTGATTAGAGCTCTAGGAGGGTCTGGGCTGTAGTTGCTGTGATAGAGCTCTAGGAGGGTGTGGGTTGTAGTTGCTGTGATTAGAGCTCTAGGAGGGTCTGGGCTGTAGTTGCTGTGATAGAGTTCTAGGAGGGTCTGTGCTGTGGTTGCTGTGATTAGAGCTCTAGGAGGGTCTGGGCTGCAGTTTCTGGTACTTATAACTTTTGGATGGTGGGAGGAGGGGGACTGACTAAGGGATTTCCCAACCCTCACTTACAAAATATGTACTAATGTGTAATGTTATGGGAGGGTGCTCTCCAGGGAGAGATACATAACAAGACATTCTAAGTTTGTCAGGGTAATTTCCCAAACAATTTTTTTAACGTTATGCACTACTCTGGATTAAAGGGATTCTATGGTGTTAGCAATACAGATATGTATACCTAACACTATAGTGCTCTTTAGTTCCCTCTTAAACAATTTACTTACCTGATCCTAGCACTGATCTCCCTCGGCACGCCATGCCCTCCGACGGGTGACCTAATCCGCATGTCCGGCAAGCGGTTTTCACCCCTTCAGCAACTGGGGATTGGGAGGGAGAGGGGACCTGCAGTGCCAGGAAAATGGATTGTTTTCCTGGCACTGGAGTTTCCCTTTAATCCAACCTCTAGTGGCTGTCTTCCTGACAGCCGCTACAGACGCATCTGCGACGCTGAATGCGAAATTCGCATCCAACATGCAGAACGTCCATAGGAAAGCATTAAGAAATGCTTTCCTATGGACTGTTTGAATGCGCGCGTGGCAGTTGACGCCCATGCGCATTCCACTCCACTTGGGAGCTGACGTTGGTGGGGGGGGAGAGGTCACCAGCGCCGAGGGAGCCCGGCACTGGATTAAGGTAAGTGGCTGAAGGGGTTTTAACCCCTTCAGCGCCAAGGGTGGGGGAACCCTTAGGGCACTATAGTGTCAAGAAAACGGGTTTGTTTTCCTGACACTATAGTGATTCTTTAAAGAAAAAGTAAGCAATTTTTTCAGGTTGATAATTTTTGGCCTAAATTTTGAAATTCACTTTTGAAGTTATTCACTAAAGTCCAAATTTTATTCAGGTGTACAAACTTCAGTTAAACTGGACATTTTAAATTTATTTTGGATTTCCAATTCTCATTGGTCATTTCAACCAAATCCTATAAAATAGTGGGTTCACATGTTCATCAAACATTGAATTTTAACCAAATTAATTTTAATTAATTTTAACCAGGTAGATGTACCTATATTTTGCAGGAAATCCTACCAAAATCCACTGTATTTGACCACTGGCAGCACAAGGACGGCACTTGTTATCAGACTGTGGCATTTAGAGTATATGTGAGAAACCTTGACAATATACGGCTCAGTGGAAAACCCATATAGGGGTTTATACACCAAACACCAAACTGTTGTGAACTGAAACCTGAGCTAAAAAATGTATGCAAAAACTGCTGGTTTGAGCAAATTCTCCAACTCGACTATGGTTACAGCTTGGCTTTTTTTGTTTTTAGCTCAATTTTAAAGGCCAGTTTTCGATTAATTTTTATTACAATTCAGTGAATAAACTGTAGCAAAACTGTTGAATACTTGCTAAGCATTTAAGCATAACACTCATATATTTACAATGGAGTTTATGTATACTTATTGTGCTTACTTTCATGTTTGCTCCAGTATTGTGCAAATACTTTCCTGCATTTTTGGTATCACGATAAAATAATGTTTTTCTGCCAATTTATATTAATCTTTCTAATTTTTTTTTCCTGATTATTTTACCATGACTACATTCACAAAATAAGAAAATATGGATATTTTTCCTTAGCAGTATTACTCAAGTTAAAAACTGCTTACCTGTTTCAGCAAATTCACTACACTGACTGTGGTGGAGAAATTTGTCTGAAAAAAGAAGCACTTTTGGACCTCTTTTTTTTTTTACACATTAATTGGAAAACATTTGTGAACTGAAAAATAGAACGACAATGGAACAGGAAATAAAATTCCAGAAGAGGTGCAATAATAAATAATTTGATTCCAATAGGAAAAGCTGCAGAAAACCAGCATACAATTGAGCAAGCAGGACACTTATTGCACATAAACCCCAATGTTCCTGAGCTTCTTCATTAAGTGTTCTTGCATAGCAAGACCACTTAATGTTATCTCACATATATATTATTATTATTAATTACTATAGTGGGAGAGCCAGGAGCAGAGGTCCCTGCTAGAGCACCTGTATGGAGAAAACCACATTCCCTAATACATAAGAGGTTAAAATTAACCTGTTATCCACAAATCGTAGCAATCAAGTTCAGATGCAATTTATAAATTGTAAAAATGTATAGATTTAATTCTATCCTTCGCTGAACTTTGTTTCCAAGCACACAACATGGCTCCCTGGATTAAACTTGGAGCATTAAGCCCATCTCAGAGGTCTTCTAAAGCACCATGTGCGTTTCCTACTCTTTCAGTCACCAGATGGACAAATTGTCAGGCGGGTACGCATTCATACCAGGCTGACGGGGCAAGTTTGCCCATTTTCAGATTTGTACCATTGGGTTTCAGCAGTGACGGAAGTTTCATCGCTGGAATTGGCCCTACACCTCACTATGTTTGGAGGTGTGGATATATTGTTTTACTAACACCCCCTTTTTTATATTTTTTGTACCACCTTTTGGAACTGAACACTCTGATACATGTCCCTTATTATCTACCACAGGGACAGACATTTTATACGGTGTGTTTTAAAATATGTATGTAATGCACAACCAGAGACTTCATTATTTAGTTAAATCTGTAGGGAGTTTCTATCCATTTTATTTTCACTGCACAGTTAACCACAATGACAGATTTTCAGGACAGGGCCTGGGCTGCACTATGCTGATGGCAAGCCCCAAAATTGCAAAACTATGCAGTCAGTGGTTGTTCATTGCTTGTTTTTGTTTTATTTTCCCTTTGGATAATTACATGTACATTGGCACAAAACACTGTTTTAAAACTGCATGTCGAAGAGAAGTGAGCATGCAGTGATGTGGGTTTGGAATCTTGTGGGGGGGGGGGGAGATCTATGCCGGTTTGTTTGTATAGTCAGCATGTGAGCATACAATGCTGTTTTGAGTAAATAGGGAAATATACATAAACTAATGTGTGACTCGCCCAGTTGTTCCTGACTTTTAACTAGCTCTGTACAATGCTACTCATTTATCATTAGATATTATCTATACAAATACTAATTATCAATGGTTACAGCTGTTTTTGTTTGGCTGAAGATAGATAATAGCAGATGCTTACAGTGATGTAGGACTTATGGCAGGTTTGACATTTTGTAGCAGGTTATTGCACATTTGTGAAGTGCTATAGGAGAAGGGTACTTGTTGATTATACTCTCCCCAGCTAGCGTGAGGATTCCAGCAGCAACACATTGGTTGCAGCTGCTCCATTCCTGTCTCACGTTCCTGTCTGGCTGGTGGTGGTATAATAAAAGGAACAAAATTAAAAAAAAATATATATATATATATATATATTTATTTTTTTTTAAAATTGAAATGCTCCTTAAACTCTATAGTAGGGGTCCTCAAACTCCACCCCCTCAGATGTTGCTGTGCTACAACTCCCATGAGTCTCTAGCTATTTATGTAATTCAAAGTATCATGGGAGTTGTAGTTCAGCAACATCTGGGAGGGGCGGAGTTTGAGGACCCCTGCTCTATAGCATACCCTCCATTTTGGCACTTAAACAGTCAAATATACTCACCTTTATTCCAGCGCTCAGAGAGTCTCTTTATTGCACCCCTACTCCTCCTCTTGTCATCATTAATGATGGCCTATGTCCAATCAGATGCTTAGATAAGCAGTGGGACACACCAACAATGCTTTTCATAAAGAAGCATTTAAACCGGTGCTTCTCTATATGAATCACTCAATTACACATGAGGAAAGATTCACAGGGATCGCCTATCTGCAGTTGTAAGCTCTCTGCCTGAGCTAAGCCTGGTGGTGCAGAGACTAATTCTTTGGCTGAGAAAGATTAGTTGACACGCTCAGCCAATGATATGCTCCTTAACTGCTGGGTTTAGCTCAGGAAAGCTAATGAAAGCTTTTAGTTGGAGATTCTGACTCAATATAATCTGTAGGAAAACAGGAAAGGGGACCTGGCAGATCCCAGGTAAAAGAGTTTAATCAATGGAAAACGGTTCATTTAATTACATTGGAAGGTGTACGATAACCACTACAGTCAGGGCCGTCTTTAATAACGAATGGACCCTGGGCAAGTGTTTGCTTGGGCCCCCTGTGCCCTGCCGCTCTCGCCCCTCACTCCCTGGTATGCAATCACGGCATCCATCCCAACGCAGTGGCGGTACTAAAGTAGAATGAATTTTATTGGGACCCCCAATTGCAAGGTTGGACTAAAGGTAGAACCCCATCTGTCGTGCAACTCCAACAATGCTTTGACAGCTGGGACTCTACCAATTTCCCATGCTTGCAGGGTTGTATTTAACACTGAGCCATGTTAGTATGTTTGAATGTAAGCATGTGTTTGTATGGAGTATGTTTGTGTGAATGTGTTTGTATGTGGTACTGGAGTTTGAATGCAAGTGTGCATTTATGTGTATTGTTTGTTTTTGAATGTAGGAGTGTGCTTGTATGTAGTGTTGATGTTTCAATGCAGGAGTGTGTTTTATATGTAGTGTTGAAGTTTGAATGGAGGGGTGTATTTGTATTTAAAGTTGCGGCTCAGATGCACAGGTACACACTCTGACGCACAAGCAGATACACAGATACATACACTGACTACATACAGATAAACAGGCACATACACTGACAGACACACTGACACAGGTACATATATTGACACACACACAGACACATACACTGGTAGACGTACTGACAGACATACTGACACAGGCACATATACAGACATACTGACACACAGACACATATACCGACATACTGACACACACACACACAGACACATACACTGATCAACATACTGACACACATACACTGACAGAAATACTGACACCCACACACTGACAGATATACTGACACCCACATACACTGAGAAATACTGACACACACACACAGGCACATACACTGACACACACAGACTGATATACTGACACACACACACACAGACATACTGGCACACAGACAGATATACTGACACATGCATACACATGCACTA